TAGGCCTTTGCCAGTGAGAAAGCTTTTGGAGTCCTCAGTGAAACTTTATATGAGCTGCTGCAGCTGGTGAGTGAGGGTGCACCTGCCAGGATCCCGAGGGACTGTTGGTGCCTTGCTCCTCCTCTGGGCAGAGCGCCAGGCTGGTTGGTCATTGTCAGGACAGTGGAATTTGGAGATGTGGTCCCAGTCCTTGGAATACATAGCCCCATCCATTGTCTCTGGCCACCTCAGGACTTCTTGAACTCTTTTCTTCCTTCCTAATACTGGTTCTCCTCTGGGCCTCTGTCCTCTAGCCAGGGTAGATGCCGCCTGCCTTCCACAGGGAGTCTCTTCCTCTAACTGTCCTTCTGACTAGGGCTGGGAGGAACGGCAGGAGGAAGACAACTTGCTGATTGAACGGATCCTGCTGCTGGTCAGAAATATTCTCCATGTTCCAACTGACCTTGATCAGGAGAAGGTGAGAGGGCCTTGGGTTGTCTGCTTTCTTATGCTTGGTCAGGTTGAGCTGTGCTTTTTTGCTTTTCTGCCCTCTGGCAAGTCAGGGGGGGATCCTTGGTCAAGGAATGAGTTGGAGAACTTCAAGGCAGGGCAGTGGAAGTGAATGACCTCTCTTCCTCCCCTTATCACTCACTGCTCAGAGGATCGACGATGACGCCAGTGTCCATGACCAGCTTCTCTGGGCAATTCACCTCACTGGCCTGGATGACCTGCTTCTCTTTCTGGCCAGCTCGCCTGCTGAGCAACAGTGGAGCCTGCATGTGCTAGAGATTGTCTCCCTCATGTTTCGTGACCAGGTGAGAACCTGGCTTATTTCCCTAGTCCCTTCACCCATGTACTTTTCTGCTGTGTAGCCAGAATTACTCTTGAAATAGTGGCTGAATTACCTGGGAGCAGATGGGTGACAGAGTAGCCATGTCTTGAGTAGGGGGTACTTTCAGCAGTCCTGGTTCATTCACCCTCTCTGTTCCCACTAGGACTGAACCTAGAGCAAGGAATGGCCGTCCTTCTGACTCTTGCTCTTTGTTCCAAATCTAGAACCCTGAACAGCTGGCAGGGGTAGGACAGGGACGCTTAGTGCAGGAGCGGAGCACGGATGTGGCAGAACTGGAGGTGTTGCGCCAGCGAGAGATGGCAGAAAAGAAGACTCGAGCCCTTCAGCGAGGCAGCAGGTGAGTGGCAGGGAGGTGCCCTGCCTCTGTTCCCATCCCTTCCGTATGGAATGCTGAGGGCTTGGGCCAAAGGCTAACACAGTGGGGACCAGATAACATTTTGCAGTCATGATATGCTCTGATGTGCTGATGAGAGAGAATGGGGATAAAGCTTCCAGAGAATTGAGGAATCACCCTGGACTATTTTTTGTACTGCAGGCATTCTCGATTTGGGGGCTCCTACATTGTCCAGGGCTTGAAGTCCATTGGGGAGAGGGACCTCATCTTTCACAAAGGTCTCCACAATGTGAGTACGCTCCCCATTTGGGCTGGGAACATTGTGGAGTTGAGGATGCCTAAGGAAGGTAAGCAGGGGGGTGCCTGGCTGCCTCAGTCGGTGGCACATGCAACCCTTGATCTCAGGGTTGTGAGTTCGAGCCCCATGTTGGGTGTAGAGATTACTTAAAGATAAATCGTAAAATAGAAAAAAAGAAAGGTAAGCAAGCATCTCTGGACGTAAAGCGTCTTTGTTCTCGGGCTTAGAAAGTTGGAGACGGGAGCACCTGGGTGGTTCAGTCGGTTAAACATTTGCCTTCGGCTCAGGTCATCATCTCAGAGTCCTGGGATCAGGCCCTTCATTGGGTTCCCTGCTCAGTGGGGAGTCTGCTTCTCCCCTGCCCTCTGACCTTCCTTCCTGCTCGTGTGTGCGTGTGTGCTCTCGCACACTCTCTCTCATCTCAAAAAAAGGGGGGGGGGCACCTGGGTGGCTCAGTTGGTTAAGCGTCTGCCTTCAGCTCGGGTCATAATCCCGGGGTCCTGGGATTTAGTCCTGCATCTGGCTTGTCCCTCTCCCTCTGCTCCTTCCCCTCTTCGTGCACATGGGCTCGTTCTCTCTCTCTGTCTCTCAAATATTTAAGAAAGAAAGAAAATCTTTTTTTTTTTTAAAGATTTTATTTATTTATTTGAGAGAGAGAGAATGAGAGATAGAGAGCACGAGAGGGAAGAGGGTCAGAGGGAGAAGCAGACTCCCTGCTGAGCAGGGAGCCCGATGCGGGACTCGATCCCAGGACTCCAGGATCATGACCTGAGCCGAAAGCAGTTGCTTAACCAACTGAGCCACCCAGGCGCCCAGAAAGAAAGAAAATCTTAAAAAATAGAAAGAGGGGTGCCCCTGGGTGGCTCAGTCGTTAAGCGTCTGCCTTCGGCTCAGGTTATGTTCCCGGTGTCCTGGGATCAAGCCCCGCATCAGGCTCCCTGCTCAGCGGAAAGCCTGCTTCTCCCTCTCCCTCTCCCACTCCCCCTGCTTGTGTTCCCTCTCTCGGTCTGTCTCTGTCAAAAAATAAAGAAATAAAATCTTTAAAAAAAATAAAAAGAAAGTTGGAGACAATAGGAGAAATAGAGCCTCCGGCATTATTGTATTTACCTATATACTTAGTGCCAGAGGGAGAGAACCGTCTAAGAGTTTTTTCTGAGGAAACTGTAGCACTAGGGATGTGGAGAGAGCTGCAGGGGGAGGGTGGTGGTGAGGGGTAATTCTGACCCCCCAACCCACACTCCCAGCTCCAAAACTACAGTTCAGATTTGGGAAAGCAGCCCCGAAGGGTGCCTAAACGTCGCCAAGCTGCCCAGGAGCTATCTGTTCAGCGCCGCTCTGCCCTCAATGTGAGACTCTTCCTCAGAGACTTCTGCTCTGAGTTCCTGGAGAACTGTTATAATCGGCTCATGGGCTCGGTGAAGGTGAGAGCCTGGGAAAGATGGAATAGAGTGGTAATGGGGCCAGTGGTGGGTAAGAAGGGCAACTGGGGAGGATATGGGAGGTTGACCCCGGAGTGTGGACTAGTAGGCGGGCAGGGTATAGGGCACCCTTGAGAGATGGTGGGGATGTTGGGAGGCGTTGCGTTATTGGGACTATTTTAAAAAGGCTTAGAGAGGGACGCCTAGACAGCTCAGTTATAAGCATCTGCCTTCGGCTCAGGTCATGATCCCAGGGTCCTGGGATCGAGTTCCAAGTCGGGCTTCTTGCTCAGCGGGGAGCCTGCTTCTCACTCTGCCTGCCACTCCCCCTGCTTGTGCTCTCTCACTCTCTGACAAGTAAATAAATAAAATCTTAAAAAAAAAAAAGGCTTAGAGAAAGTCCCCAGAGGAAGGGGAGAGACCTAGGGAGAACAAGAGAGGGCTGGAAATTCTGAATCCTAGAATATTGTTACAGTGGTATCCAGGCTCTGTCCCATCATCCTATAGGACAAGGAGAAAGTTGGAAGCCCTGGGGTCATGGGGTGATCTTTTTTTCCTGGGCATTAGGATCACCTGCTGCGGGAGAAGGCTCAGCCGCATGATGAGACCTACTACATGTGGGCCTTGGCTTTCTTCATGGCCTTCAACCGAGCTGCCTCCTTCCGGCCAGGCCTGGTTTCTGAGACCCTCAGTGTCCGTACCTTCCACTTCATTGAACAGAACCTCACCAACTACTATGAGATGATGCTGACTGACCGCAAGGAAGCCGCATCCTGGGCACGGCGGTGAGTGGGATGAGAATTGGGGTCAGAGTGGGCATCTTGGCCAGGCTAGCAATCTGAGTGCCTGAATTCTGGGTGGTACTTTTCTTTCCTGTTTCAGGATTAAGGTGGTCAGGCTGGGGAGCAAGGACCAGCTGGGTCACAGTTTTTGATGGCACCATTTTTTGGAAGGGGTAGGGGTGGTACTGTTTGCACAAGCCCGTTTGTCCTCCATTTTTTCTCTATGTCTTGTCTCACAGGATGCACCTGGCCCTGAAGGCCTATCAGGAGCTGTTGGCCACAGTGAATGAGATGGACATGTCCCCGGATGAGGCTGTGAGGGAGAGCAGCCGCATCATCAAGAGTGAGGCCCTGGCCTGGTCTCTAATCCTGGCCTTTCCCATCTCTTGACCACAATCTCACTCCTTCCAGCCCTAACTTCATCCATCTCTCCCTTTCCCAAAGTTTCCAGACCAGTCCTTCCATTCCTTTCTCTTCCTCATTCCTAGACAACATTTTCTATGTGATGGAGTACCGAGAACTCTTCCTGGCACTCTTTCGAAAGTTTGATGAGAGATGCCAGCCACGCTCTTTCCTTCGTGACCTGGTGGAAACCACCCACCTCTTCCTCAAGATGTTGGAGCGGTTCTGTCGGAGCCGTGGGAACCTGGTGGTGCAGGTAAACCCTGGGATGTGGAAAGAGCCATAGGGAAAGGTGGGAAACAGGGAACTCTCCTCACATTTCTGCAGCTTGAGCTGACCTGTTAGAACTACTCTGAACTAAGGAGGGCAAGGAGTTTGTTGGTGTTGCTGTTGTGAGTCTACTATAGTTTCCTTCTTTCATTAAATTAATCTCCAGTGTAACATAAATATCCTAATTCATTCAGGAAACATTTACAAAACACCGATTAGGTGCAAAGCATATAAACTCTGGGGATTCATAATTTTAGAGTTAGTAATTATGCTGTGATCCTTTCTGGTTATACTTCATAAGCACTGTAGTGAGATGGAAGGAGCCCTAAGTTAAAAGCCAGGAGGTCTAGAATCTCATCCTATATTAGTAATTGTTAGGATAACTCAAGCTGCTCATGTCAGTCCCCAGATCTCTAAAGATGGGATTGTAATATAAGCCTGAAATGAAATAAAAAACTAAAAAGTCTTGGACAAGGGGCACCTGCCTGGCTCAGTCGGTGGAGTATGTGACTTTTTTTTTTTTTTTTTTAACATGTATTATTTGTTTCAGGGGTGCAGGTCTGTGATTCATCAGTCTTACACAATTTACAGCGCTCACCATAGTACATACCTTCCCAATGTCCATCACCCAGCCACCCCATCCCTCCCACCCCCTCCACTCCAGCAACCCTCAGTTTGTTTTCATGTCATCCTCATGGTAGCGCTAGGACCCGTGCACACAGTGGTGAAGCAGCTTGTTTGAGGTCTTGCTCGTGCCTAGTGTCAGTACTTAAATCCAGATCTGTTGGGCTCCGAAGCTCATGCTGCTAACCTTTGGTGTGTTATGAGTTTCTTGAATAGAGCGTGAACGTCAAGGGCCTCCTAGTCCATCCTATTTGCCTGTGCCCCAAACTGGTTCACAGCCTTGATGTGGGGGAGCAGGGGTGGGGTGCTGACTCTCATTTTCCTGCTTTTCAGGAGAAAAAAAATACAGGTTATGTGTACACAGTGCTTTGCATTTTACAAAGCCTTTTCATATCAAATTTCATATCCTCATAGCCAATCTGTTCATTCTGTAAACTTTTGCTTAAGATATCACTGCTTTGGGGAAATCCCTGACCGCAAGAAATAAGTCACGTCCTATTCCTGTGTTTTGCCATAGCATTTTATGCCCAGCCATATTCTCGTTCTTCCCCATACTGTAATATGTTACCTGTCCCCTCCACTGGACTGTGTGCTCCTCAAGGGCAGGGAAATAGACCGCTCACTCTTGCTTCCCTATTGTTTATGAATAGCACACAGTGGTCACTCTGTGACTGTCAAATTAATTAATTCAGGCCTCTAATGAATGAATGGAGGTGTTGATGGGAAAACGTCCTCTTAGATTTCCAGCCACCCTAACAACAGTTCTTTCTCCAAAGAACAAACGAAAGAAGAGAAAGAAGAAAAAGAAGGTCCTAGATCGGCCTGTTGCTTCTGGTGATGTCCCCTCTGGTGCAGGGGCACTAGAGGCTGTGTGGCCATCCCTGGCCGAGCAGCTACAGTGCTGTGCCCAGGTAGGTAGCTGCAGACGCCCTCCCTTTCCCGTGGGTAGTGCGCTGGTGGGCTGTCTGGGTTTCTCTCCTCTGTTCCCATAGCCTTAATCCCGCTCTAGGGTCCAGAGCTCAGTTTGGACTCCGTGGTTCCCTTTGATGCGGCTTCAGAGGTGTCTGTGGAAGAGCAGCGGGCAGAAGCCGTGGTGCGGATCCAAAACTGTCTGCTGGCTGGCCAGGGCCCACAGGCCCTGGCCCTTCTTAGGTCTGCCCGGTAAGAGCCCTGCGGGCCCCCCCCCGCCCCCGCATCGCCGTCCTCCTGGATCCAGCTCCTGGGCTTTTGGGGGCAGAGGGAGGCTTTCCCTGGTGGTCCAGGTTTCTTTGTCTTCCAAAGAGAGCAGTCCCATGAGAAGCACAGGGGCTCTGTACTGAGCACTGAGTCCTGGGCAGGTTTCGATTGGCATATTGGGGGTTGGGTTGTTCGTTTTTCTTTTATTTTTGAGAACTATCAGAAAGCACCATTAATTGGGGGAAAAAATACAAATAATTCTACTGGCTAAAGGTAATCAATCATCTTTAACATTTTGATGAGTCATCTTTCTTTTTTCCCTCCGTGTTATGTATAGACATACACAACTTTTTTTACAACAATGAAATATTGTACATCCTGTTTTATAGTATTTTTTTTTACTTCTCAGTGTATCATGAGCATCGTGTCTCATGAGATATAGTGCCATAATTGTTAATGGCAATGTGAAACGTACCTTTGTTCAACCAAGTGTGAGACACTTCGATTGTTTGCATTTTGTTCCGGCGGTGTGCAGTGTGGCTGATGAGGGAGGATTTCCCTAGAGTCTTTGTTTCATCTTTGAGGTAACAGTTTGCATTCTCTTCTTGGCTGACAGATGAGAGATGAGTCCAAACTCCTTTGCCCACCTCAAATTATAACTCAGATTCCCCCTGGCTAAGGTCTTTTTTCTCTCCGTGCTTCAGGGAGGTGTGGCCAGAAGGAGACGTGTTTGGCCCTCAAGACATTTCTGCAGAGGAAGAGATCCAGCTGCTGAAACAGATCTTCTGCGCCCCGCTTCCCCGTGAGTCTCCGTGTCCTTCACACCCCCTTCCTTCCAGCTCTCCTCTAGAACCAGCCTCGCAGAGACTCAGTAGTCCTCACTTTTTCTATAGGGCAGCAGGGGCCAGAGGAACGGGGGCCAGAGGAAGAGGAGGAGGAGGAGGAGGAGGAGGAGGAGGAGGAGTTGCAAGCAGTCCAGGTGTCAGAGAAAGAATTTAATTTCCTGGACTACCTGAAACGGTGCGCGGCCGAGCAGTCGCAGTCGGGCCCAGGGTGGAGACTGTAGGGCGGGGAGGATGAGCGGCGTCCTCCGTGTGCTGATACCCTTGCTCCCTCCTGTCCTGGCGCAGTTTTGCAAGCTCAGCTGTTGTGCGAGCCTGCGTGCTACTGCTGCGGAGCTATGGACAGAACAGCGCCCACACCAACCGCTGCGTGGTCAAGCTGCTGCACCGCCTGGCCCACGACCTCAGGATGGAGGGCCTGCTTTTCCAGCTCTCACTCTTCTGCCTCTTCAACCGGCTGCTCAGCGACCCGGCCGCCGGGGCCTACAAAGTGAGGACACAGCAAGCCGCGGGGCATCGAGAGGCGTAGCGAGTCCTAGGGTCACAAAGGATAGTGTTCAGGAGACAAAGGGTGCTGAGCGGTGCCGAGGGCTGAGAGGTGACAGAACGGTGAGGAAGCAGGCAGGCAGGCTGAGGGAGCTCGGGGCGGCTAGGAGAGTCTGAGTGAGGAGGGGCAGCCGGAAACAGGCAGAAAGTACCTAGAGGGCCTGGTTGATGTGTACGTTTAGGCCAGAGGTCGCACAGCAGCCTCCCTCGCCTGCAGGAGCTCGTGACTTTCGCCAAGTACATCCTGGGCAAGTTCTTTGCGTTGGCTGCAGTCAACCAGAAAGCCTTTGTGGAGCTGCTGTTTTGGAAGAACACAGCTGTGGTTCGAGAGATGGCCGAGGGCTATGGCTCTCTGGACGGCGGGTGAGCTTGAAGATGGGGACGGATGGGCAGTAGTGGGTGACACAGTCAGTGTCAAAGCTGGAGGAGCTTGCAGATCAGCTAGTCTTTCTTACCCTTTCATAGGTAAGAAAACAAGCCCCCAAGTGAAATGTTTTCCCTGAGATCACCCGCGAGAGGTAGTGGGACTGGATCCTAAGTCTCCTGTCTACTCCGGTTTCCTTCCTTCACCTGCCTTCGTGGGGGGCGGTCAGTTGGCAGTGGGGTGGCCCCTTAGAGTCCATATGTGCCCCGTCCCAAAATGTGCTGGGAAAATGAGGATTCATGGAAATGGTTGCCCTCTTTCCCTGTAGCTCAGCCCTTCTCCTTTTCCCATAATCCGCTCAGCCCTTGCTGTGTCAACTTCCAAAGGCCCAACCCAGAAAGTTTCTTCGTTTGACTTTTGCGGTCGTAAGTGGGAGGAGAATGAGGGAAAGGAAGCACACCGTAGGCCTCCGCTAGCTGGCTTGTCTGAGTTACCTGCGTTGCCCTTCTTGTTCCTTTTAGAGCTGACCAGAGAGGGCCTTTGGTCTCCTCTCTTGGGGCCAACATCCTACGTGCTCCCTTTCTCCTTTCCCCATTTAGGTCCTCCAGTCTCAAACCCCCTATGTGGAGCCCAGAGGAGGAGGCCCAGCTTCAGGAATTGTACCTTGCCCATAGGGATGTGGAAGGTATATGAGCCCTTGAGATCTGAAGATTTCTGAAGTGGGCAGCCTGAGCTCCAGGACCCCCTTTACTGCCTCACTCCCCCTCCCCCTTAGGTCAGGATGTGGTGGACATGATCTTGGCCCGCCTGAAAACCCCTCGAACACGCAAGCAGGTCATCCACCATCTGGTACGGCTGGGCCTGGCTGACAGCGTCAAGGACTTCCAAAGGTAAGAGGCGCATGCTCTGGAGGGCATTGAGATAGGGAGTCCTCCATTTGCTCCCTGGGCCCCCTCTTCCACTGACGCGTCCTTAAGCAGGAAAGGAACCCATATTGTACTGTGGACGGAAGATCAGGAGCTAGAGCTGCAGCGGCTGTTTGAGGAGTTCCGGGACTCAGATGGTAAGTGATGGCGGGGCTTCCGAGCCGCTGAGATGAGAGCCAAGCTGGGCGTGTCTTGCCCCTGCCTCCTGTTTCCGAGGAAGGCTTATCCTATCCCTTCCTTCCCTTTATTATATTTGTGGTGTCATTTGTGAGTGAATTGAATTAGCCTCTTTCCAGAGGCCTCTGCTCTCCTTCACTATTCCCTTCCCCCCTGTTGCTCTCGTATTTACACTTGCCCTCTTTGTAGACGTGCTGGGCCATATCATGAAGAATATCACGGCCAAACGCTCACGGGCCCGAATAGTGGAGAAGCTGCTGGCTCTGGGACTGGTGGCTGAGCGGCGGGAGCTGTATAAGAAACGCCGCAAGAAGTTGACACCCTCAGGCTTGGTAACAGTCTTTCACTGGCTCTGCAGGCTGCCCTCCACCCCACCCCCGAAGCGCTCCTCACAGGTAGCTCACCTGGATGGTTTTCCTGCCTTAGGCTCTTTCTGGCTAGGTCCCCCCAGTTTCCAGGGGTGGTGTCAGGAACCAGAGGACTCCACGCTGTTCCTCATCTTGTCCCCTTTTTTCATTTCCCACCCCACTGAATTTTAGCCTAACGGAGAGGAGTTCCGGAGAAATTTTTGCCAGGAAGATCTGGAAGGAGAAAACGGGCCAGAGGCAGAGAGTGGCAAGGAGGACGGGAAGGAGGAGGAGGCCTCAGAAGCAGAACAAGCCGAGGGTAGCTCAGGCCTTTCAACTGAGACCCTTGGGCAAAGCTTGTCCCAGGAAGGTGAGGACTTGGGTCGGGAAAGATGTCGCAGGTGGAGGGGTTGGCAATGGGAGCCCGCGGTAAGTTTCCCTCCCTCCCATAGGCTTCTCTGCTCCCCTTCTGTGGCTCCAGAGCTGTCTGATTCGAGCAGCGGACAATCGAGAAGAGGAGGGTGAGCGGATAAATGGCGGTTTCCAGGGCTGGGGTAGCAGAGGCTGCTGGACACGTGCCCGTGGGTGCTGGTCATGGGGTGGACCACCAGTTCTGGCTTTTGGTCTTCACCACATGACCATTGACCCTGTCCTAGGCTGCTCCCAGGCAGTGCCTTTGGTGCCACTGACGGAAGAAAATGAAGAAGCGATGGAAAATGAGCAGTTTCAACAGCTATTGCGCAAGCTTGGGGTTCGGCCTCCTGCCTCTGGGCAGGTAAACACCCCGGTTCCACTTTCAGCCACGGTGGTGTGTTGCTGCTACTTTACAGTACATGTCTTCCTCCTCATTGCAGTTGCCATCTCTGACTTCCTTTCTGGTCACCTCTGACGGAGGCTCCTACAGCACCCACCCTGTTCATGTTCTCTGGTCTCCCCATCCCCTACTCCACCTTCCGTGCTGCCCCCCAAGTTATCTTTCTAAAGTAGGGTTTTGAGTATATCACTCCCCTGTCCAGAGCACTGGGTGGTTCCCCACTGTTGGTGGGACAGAGTCCACAGCCTCTGAGTGGCATGCCTGGCCTTGGCCAGCCTTTACAGCTTCACGGCCACGCCACCCACACACCTCCCTTTCACCGTCGTCATCCTGGACGACTTTCCATACCTCCAGACAGCTGATCGTGCCAGTCCCTCCACTGGATGGCTCCGACCGCACATACAAGGTGACACTCACCTGTCACCCATCTTCCTGATGAACCTCCACTCAGCCTTCAAGAGTCAGTTCAGTTGTCCCCTCCTCAGAGAAGTGTCCCTATCACACCTTCAACCTCTGAAGTGAAAGTAGTAACTTTGGTAGCTGAGATTTGCTCATTCCCCTGATGTAGCCCCAATCCTGTGATGTTACAGTATGTTGGTTCTTTCTTCCACTAGATTGTGGGTTTCTTGAAAGCAGGGATCTTATCTGATTCACCTTTAGATCCCTGATATCCATTCATTGATTTATTTAATTAACAACTGAATTTCCGGGGCGCCTGGGTGGCTCAGTCGTTAAGTGTCTGCCTTCGGCTCGGGTTATGATCCCAGGGTCCTGGGATCAAGCCCCACATCGGGCTTTCTGCTCGACGGGAAGCCTGCTTCTCCCTCTCCCACTCCCCCTGCTTGTGTTCCCTCTCTCGCTGTGTCTCTCTCTGTCAAATGAATAAATAAAATCTTTAAAAAAAAAAAACAACTGAATTTCCTGGGAACCTTTGGATGTATCAGGCACTGTGCATATATTGGATAAATAATAAGAATTTACAGCCTTGGGCGCCTGGGTGGCTCAGTTGGTTAAGCGACTGCCTTCGGCTCAGGTCATGATCCTGGAGTCCCAGGATCGAGTCCCGCATCGGGCTCCCTGCTCGGCAGGGAGTCTGCTTCTCCCTCTGACCATCTTCCGTCTCGTGCTCTCTGTCTCTCATTCTCTCTCTTTCAAATAAATAAACAAAATCTTAAAAAAAAAAAAAGAATTTACAACCTTTGTGGATCTTCACCAATGTGGGATCGTATTTATTCAATGAATAACATCAAGATCTGGTGAACTAGAGTCTGCTCCTTTCCTGTTACTCCCATTTTCAACTTCTTTGCTTCTGTAGGAAACCTTCTGGAGAATTCCAGCTAAGCTGAGTCCTACCCAGCTCCGGAAGGTAGCGGCTTCTTTGAGTCAGCCAGAGGAGGAGGAAGAACTTCAGCCAGAACCAGAACCTAAAGTCCCCAGAGAGCAAGGCTCTGAAGAGGAGCACCAAAAGGAGCACCATACACAGGCCCTAAGGGCCCTCCTGCTAGCCCGAAAAAAGAAAGCCGGCCTGGTGTCCCCAGGGGGTCAGACCACTTACCTATTGGGTACTTACTATGGGCCAGCCATGTTGATCGAGAGGGCTGATAGGGTATTTTGAGAATATGAGGGCTCAGCTCCCTAATTCCATGCCTCTTATGGTCATTTCAGGGGAAGGGGCTGCTGGCAAGAAAGAACAGCTGAAAATGGCACCCAGGAAGCGACAACTGCTAGACAGTGATGAGGAACAGGATGAAGACGAGGGCAGGAGCAAAGGTAGGGAGTCGGACGGGGGTCTGCTTTTTCTTCTGACTTCTGGCACTTTTCTCAGTCCTGAAGATCAACGCCACTCCTCCACTTCCCCCTTAACATATTTAGATACTCTCTCTTCTCACCCCTGTCATTCCCCTAGCCCCAGAGTTGAGAGCTCCAGAAATCCAAAAGAAGAAACGGTTCCAGATTGAGGATGAAGATGAGAGCGACTGAAGACCTAGAAGCTTCGGGGAAGGGGTAGACGATTTTTAGGTGGGGAATTTAAGTCAGAGTTCAGAGGGTCACACGGGACCCAGAGACTCCTCTTACCAGACAGAAGCAGTAGAGTCCTGGGCTTCCCCGTGGATCTGCGGTTCAGGAAGTTCAGGGAGGGGCAGTGTCAGGCTCAGTCGTTAAGAGTCTGCCTTCGGCTCGGGTCATGATCCCAGGGTCCTGGGATCGAGCCCTGCATCGGGCTCCCTGCTCCGCGGGAAGCCTGCTTCTCCCTCTCCCACTCCCTCTGCTTGTGTTCCCTCTCTTGCTGTGTCTCTCTCTGTCAAATAAATAAATAAAAGGCAACAGCTGTTGGATTTCTCTGCAGTCACTCCTTGCTTCTCCCAGTTTTAGCAGAATGCCTCAGTAGCTCTCTGGGGACTTACTTCTCCTCTTCTAGGATCCATGGGTTAGTAGCGCCCCTTATCAAATAAATGGGAGAAGTGAGCAACAGATAGAAGGCACCTTGGACCCCTTTTGGCTTTCTGCTAGAGGTGGGTCACAGCACCAGATGAGGAGCTTTGTGACATGACGGATGGGGGTGTGGTACCATTTTTAAAAGACACCAGAAGCTCCCAGCCTTGTTTCTTTCCTGTGATCAACCCCTAGACACCTTTTGAACCTAATTCCTGCAGTTGAGGTAGGGTTGGGATGCAGTACTTGCTAGATGATGAATGTGTTTGGTATTAAACGTGTCTAATTAAATTGAAAGTTGCCAACGTTGATATGACATGCCAGTCTGTCTAAGGACCCCAGCCTTCCACTTGCTATGTTCTCGGAAGAAGAACTTTGACCTCTTCGGGTTAAAAGAAACCATCTCCTGTCCCTTTTCTCCTGCCTTCCCTACAGAAGACACGAAAACATTCTCACCTCCCGATCCTTTGTCTAGGATAAATCTTCGGGGTGACAAGTGTACGCGGCAGGAAGAAGCTGGAGCCACAAAGGAGCAAAAGCCAGTTCGCCACCTTGGGGCAGAGTGGAGGATAAAGTCTGGGCAAGAAAGAGATGGATAAAGATGACAAATGTCATGTCCTTCCCAATTCTTGGAAACCGGCAGCTTTCTGGCTCCCTGTGTTTCTGGCTAAGGTAGGGTGAAGGAAAGATTCAGGAAATAAGCATTCAGATCAGGGAGAGCCCTAGGTAAAGGATGCATTTGGACTCTCTTGTTTCTCCAACTTGGTGTTTTTTTCCCTCCCACAGCCCCTAAAGGTAGAGGTGAAGCTCTCTCCAGGGCAATTGAAGTTTCCAAGGCCTGAGACCCTTCCCAGCTCAGACCGGTCTTGGTAGATCTTTATGCCCAGCCTTTCCCCACTTGCCAGCCTGAGCACTGCTGCTTTTCAGCAGGGCTGTGCCTGTTCCTCTGCTGTGTCTTGCTGTCCCCATTGGCTGTCTTTCCAAGAAATGCCTGGAAAGGGGCCCTGACCTGTCAGCCATCTTTGAAACTTTCAGCCCCAATTTCTTCTACCAGTTTCTCTTATCAAGTGTAGACCATTTACTTGGGTACAGAGGTATTGCTGTCCTTTTCCATTTATTTATCCCATAGTTTTGAATTTTTAAGAAAAAGATTTTATTTATTTATTAGATAGAGCTAGCATGAGTTGGGGGAGGGGCAGAGGGAGAAGTAGACTCCCGGCTGAGCAGGGAGCCCGATGTGGGGCTCAATCCCAGGACCCCGGGATCATGTCCTGAGCCTAAACCAAGAGTCAGATGCCCAACCGACTGAGCCACCCAGGCACCCCCATTGTGGCAATTTCTTAAAATAACACAAGTTTGGTGCATTGATTGACTCTTCCTTTCATGAATGATTTCTCCGTAGCATGTGATGCTGCTCAGTAGCATTTTACCCACAGTAGAACTTCTTTCACAATTGGAGTCAATCCTCTCAAACCCTGCTACTGCTTTATCAACTAAGTTTATGTAGTATTCTAACTTCTTTGCTGTCATTTCAATAATCTTCACAGCATCTTTACCGGGAGTCAATTCCATCTCAAGAAACCACCTTCTTTGCTCATCCATAAGAAGCAACTACTCGGGGCGCCTGGGTGGCTCAGTTGGTTAAGCGACTGCCTTCGGCTCAGGTCATGGTCCTGGAGTCCCGGGATTGAGTCCCGCATCGGGCTCCCTGCTCAGCGGGGAGTCTGCTTCTCCCTCTGACCCTCTTCCCTCTCGTGCTCTCTATCTCTCATTCTCTCCCTCTCAAATAAATAAAAAAAAAAAAACTAAAATAAATAAATAAATAAAATCTTAAAAAAAAAAGAAGCAACTACTCATCCAGGAAAGTTTTATCATGAGATTGCAACAACTCATCTTCAGGCTCTGCTTCTTATTCTAGTTCTCTTGCTATTTCCACCACATCTGCAGTGACTTCCTTCATTGAAGTCTTGAACCCCTCAAAGTCGTACTTGAGAGTTGGAGTCAACTTCTCCCAAACTCCTATTTATGTTATTTTACCCTCTTCCCATAATCATGAATATTCTTTTCTTTTTTTAAGATTTACGTATTTGAGGGAGAGAGAGTGCAAGCGGAGGGAGAGGGGGAAAAAGATTCCGTGCCAAGCCCAGAGCCCGATGCCGGACTCCACGTGGGCCTGGAGTCTCACGATCCTGAGATCAGGACCTGAGCCAAAATCAAGAGTCGGACGCTCAACCAACTGAGCTACCCAAGTGCCCTGAATCACGAATGTTCTCTTTAAGGTTTTTTTTTTTAAGATTTTGTTTATTTGATAGAGCGAGAGCACACAAGCAGGAGGAGCAGTAGAGGGAGAAGGAGAAGCATGCTCTCCACTGAGCAGGGAGCCCGATGCGGGGCTCAATCCCAGCACCCTGGGATCATGACCAGAGCTGAGGGCAGACACTTAACCAACTGAGCCACCCAGGTGCCCCAAGAATGTTCTTGATGGCATCTAGCATGGTGATTCCATTCCAAAAGATTTTCAATTTACTTGGCTCAGATCCATCAGAGGAATCACTATCTATGGGAGCCCTACAAAATATATTTCTCAAATAATAAGACTTGAAAGCCAAAATCACTCCTTGATCCATGGGCTGCAGAGTTATGTTGTGTTAGCAGGCATAAAAACCACATTAATCTCATTGAACATCTCCATCAGAGCTCTTGGGTGACCAGGTGCATTGTCAATGAGCAGTAATATTTTGAAAGCAATCTTTTTTTCTGAGCAGTAAGTCCCAACAGTGGACTTAAAATATTCAATACACTGGGGCACCTGGGTGGCTCAGTCGTTAAGCGTCTGCCTTCAGCTCAGGTCATGATCCCAGGGTCCTGGGATCGAGCCCCTCATTGGGCTTCCTGCTCGGCGGGAAGCCTGCTTCTCCCTCTCCCACTCCCCCTGCTTGTGTTCCCTCTCTCGCTGTGTCTATCTGTCAAATAAATAAATAAAATCTTTAAAAAAAAAAAAAAAAGGCTTTACAAAGGAGCTTAAGAGAATCACATCTTACATTGGTTCTAACCCCGGAGTACACCGCTCCTCATTTCTGACCTTGACTCCTACAGTATCTGACCCTCTAAGATTCCTCGTCCCAGTCTCCTCTTCCCTTTCCTTCTTGTTCCATTCTACCTGCAGAATCCCTTTTAAAATGTGGTTCTGGGGCGCCTGGGTGGCTCAGTTGGTTAAGCGACTGCCTTCGGCTCAGGTCGTGATCCTGGAGTCCCGGGATCGAGTCCCACATCGGGCTCCCTGCCCAGCAGGGAGTCTGCTTCTCCCTCTGACCCTCTTCCCTCTCGTGCTCTCTATCTCTCATTCTCTCTCAAATAAATAAATAAAAATCTTAAAAAAAAATAAATAAAAAAATAAAATGTGGTTCTGATCATGTCAATGTCCTGCTCAAGAGCATTTGATGGTCTCCCATTTCTTTTTTAAAGATTTTATTTATTTATTTGAGAGAGAGAGAATGAGAGACAGAGAGCATGAAAGGGAGGAGAGTCAGAGGGAGAAGCAGACTCCCTGCTGAGCAGGGAGCCCGATGTGGGACTCGATCCCGGGACTCCAAGGTCATGACCTGAGCCGAAGGTAGTCACTTAACCAACTGAGCCACCCAGGCGCCTGATGGTCTCCCATTTCTTTCGGGACAGAGTCTGGATCCAGAATAGCACGCCTCATCTCGGCAAGTCTTTGCAGCTTCAACTGCCTTATTTTACACTGTTGCTCTCCCCCAACTTTTTTTTTTTTTTAAGATTTTATTATTATTTTAAGTAATCCGTACACCAATGTGAGGATCAAACTTACAACCCTGAAATTAAGAGCTGAGTGCTCTACTGACGGAGCCAGCCATGTGCCCCAGCCCCTCAGACTATTTTGAATCACCCTCACAGAGCAGGCCTTTTCCTGCCACCAAACTGTCGATTATGACAGCCCCTGTGCTGGTGGGCTCTCTCCAACTCCTATCTCATCAGCTCAGGCTTGCTCTTGTGACGCAGTCTTTGTGACGCAGTCTTTGTCACTCTTGGAACCTCAAACCACAAGCAATCACTTTTCTAGCTGGGATTTGTTCATTCCCCTGATAAATTGCCAATCTTACAGTGTTTCATCTGGTTTGTTCCTTTTCCCATTAGACTGTGAGCTTGAAAGAATTGTCTTACTCACCTTTAGGTCCCAAAGGTGCATTTGTTACTATATCCAATTAATACATGTTTTCAGTGCCTCCTGTATGGTCGCCATTCTGGGCTTTGGGTGTTAATTGGGAGTGATTACTAAAGACTACGCATAGGGAGGTGAATAAAGCAATATTAATAAGGGTCCCAGCACTTGCAGACCTACACCGGTGCAGTATTAAGCACAAAGTAGCTGTTAATACTAACAACGTGCTGATCTAGAGGCTGGTTCTTTCACTTTGCTGCCATTTTCAACTTCTTTGATGCCATAGGAAAGCTTCCTGTGGAATCCAAACAAGCTGAAGCCCAAGAAAGAGGATTCTTTTTTTTTTTTTTTTTGAGATTTTACTTTTAAGTAACTCTACACCCAACATGGGCCTTGAACTTACATAACCTCGAGATCAAGAGTCACGTGCTCTACCAACTGAGCCAGTCAGGCACCCCAAGTTAGATGATTCTTTAAGTCGCTCAGAGGAAAGCTTCAGCCAAAGCTGGAATCTGAGGTCTCTGGAGAGCAAGGGCCTGATGAGGAGTGCTAAGCCCAAGCCCTGGGGGCCCGCTGTAAGCCAGCAGAAGGAGAGGAGCCCTGGTGTCCCTATGGGAGAAGAGCAGGACTGCTGTCTGTTGAGTACGTATGTACCAGCCACTATGCTCTAGGGGGCTGATGGAGTTAACTTTGATGCCTCCTATTTCAGAGGAGACCAGGCTGATAGGAAATGGTAGCTAAAACAGCACCCAAGATTTTTAGGGCAGTGAAAAGTACTCTGTATGGTACCATAAAAGTAGATGTATGACATTATGTATTTCCTAAAACCATAGAAGTATAGAATGCAAAGAATTAAACCCTAATGTAAACTAGGGACTGAGGTAATAATAATACATAACAAATAGTTTTAATATAATAAATTGTAACAAATGTACCACACTAATTAAGATGTTAATACTGGAAATATTTTAATATTTGGGGACAGTATTTAATGCTCAATTTTCCTATAAACCTAAAACTACTCTACAAAATAAACTACTGGGACGCCTGGGTGGCTCAGTCGGTTGGGTGTCTGCCTTCGGCTCGGGTCATGATACCAGAGTCCCTGCTCAGCAGGGAGCCTGCTTCTCCATCTCCCTCTGCCTGCTGCTCCCCCTGTGTGTGTTCTCTCTCTCTCACTCTCTCAAATAAAATCTTAAAAAAAAATGTCTGCCTTCGGCTCAGGTCATGATTCCAGGGTCCTGGGATCGAGCCCCACTTCGGGCTCCCTGCTCAGCGGGGGAGCCTGCTTCTCCCTCTCCCTCTGCCACTCCCCCTGCTTGTGCTCTCTCTCGCTCTCTCTCTCAAACAAATAAAATCTTTTTTTTAAAAAAGAGTAAAAGGAATCTGCTTTTGCCGTCATCCTTCTATCATTTTTCTCCTTGGTCCTGGAGACAAACTCATCACCACTTTTCCTCCCCCTACCATGTTTACAATTCTTTTGTCTCTCCCCTGTCACTCCCAAGGCACTAGTGTTGGAAACTGGAGGAATTTCAACCAAAAGCCATTTTCACATGGAGGGGGATGGTGATGCTGATGCCGACAAACTGGATGCGAGGATAGGCCCAGTTATTGATGGCCAACTCAAGTCAGATATGGGAAAATCTACCAGGGTCCAAAAACTTCCCTGAGCTGTACAAAAGGAGCAGAGCCTTGAGGTGCTCTGTGGTTTTAGAGTCCAGGAATTTTAGGCAGCAGTGTTAGATGCATCTAGATCCAATTCTTCCCTCTCTCAATTTTAGGATTGTGTCCCAGTAGCTCCCTGAAGACTTACTCCTCTTGTTCTAGAAAACTTTCCCCCCCTGATTTCTTTTTGCTCCTTAGGGCCCCTCCTGGGACTGGGAGGAGTGAGTAAGATAGAAGGAACCTGGGATTTGTTCATTAGCCTAATGCCTTTGGCCGTCTGCCAGAGATAGGTTATAGCACCAGCGTGGAGGCTGTATGGCAAAATGATGGGATTTCTGTACCAGTTTTTAGGAGGCACCATATGCCATCATTCTCTATTTTCCAGACTACAGTTTCTCATCTAGACCCCTAGAAATAAGAAATGAAGATCAATTCCTACACCGATACAGGCTTAGAAAGAGGTACTTTCAGGGTAATAAATGTGTTTAATTAGGGTATTGCGCTGGTATAACAAGATAAAAACAAAAGTTGCTCTGATTTGATCTGACTTGCCAGTAGGTTCTATTTTCTCATTTTTCTTCCTGGTAAGTCCATTGAATAAGAACTGTTTTGGGGTCTCCTGCCCAGAAATCATTGGCATCCCTGCCTTTTGCCTCCCCGCTTCCCCAGAAGAGACTGAGGAATTTTTCCTGATCTAGGTTTAGATCTAGAGAAATCCTTAGGGTGATAGGGATATGAGGCAGGAAAAACGGTAGCCACAAAGGGCAATGGCCCTTTTGTCAGCATGGGGCAAAGGTGAGGGGGAGAAGCCTAAGCCAGGAAGAGGTGGATAAATATTTGTGAATATTATGTCCTTCACTGTTTTCAGAAGGGCCAACTTTTTTTGGCTGGGGTGTAGAGAAGGTGAGCCCTAGGAAGCTGTCATTCAGATTAGAGAAGCACCGAGGAAGGGACATGTGTGGACCATCTTGTTCCTCTGGCTTGTTTCCTTCTGGAGCAGGTGAGAACTGCCCACAGCTTGTAAGGGTGGGGGTGAAACTATGTCCAGGCTACCTGAAGTTTCCAAGGGTAGAACCACTTCCTAGCTTTGACTAGTCTTGGTGTCTCTTTGGCCCAAGCCTTTCCCCACTTCCCACCCCAACCACTACTTCTTTCCTGTTTCCTGTGGGCTGTTCCTGCTGACCCACCATGATCTAGGCTGTGCTGCTCCTTTGCTGTGTCTTTTTGTTTTTTTAGATTTTATTTTTTTAAGTAATATCCACAGCTAACATAGGGCTTGAACTTAAAACCCCGAGATCAAGAGTCTCATGCTCTACCAACTGGGCCAGCCAGGTGCGCCTTTGCTGTGTTTTGCTGTTCCCATTGGCTGTCTTTCCAAGAAATGCCAGAAAGGGGCCCTGAACTTCCAGCCATCTTTCACAAAAACTGGCCATCCTCTGAACACACTCTCCAGCCAGCTCCCTCTCCCAGATCCCAAGACCTGCCCAGATCTCTTGCACACTGCCTCCTTAGCCCCTCTGCCTGACTACCTATCCAACTTGGCTCTGGGGGTGGCCCTGGAGGAGGCTGGCTGCCCAACTGAGGCCCACATTCTCAGCTTCAGCTTGTTAGGATGGGAGGAAAGGACATCACTGAAACTCTTCTCCATGAGAGGAGAACACAATGAGGAGGAAAGCATTGGCAATACTAAGGTCACTCTGAGGGATCTGGGGGGGCCTGCGGGGAAGCTTGGATGAACCTACCACTCAGCTATTTACCCTGAGGAATGTATTGCTGGTGGCTAATACACACATTGGCGTGATTGATCTACCAGCTATCTGCCATATTGCTGGTGGCACAGTTCAAAGATGTTGCTGTCAATATCCCCTAGAGCTGCAGGAATGCTTGTTGGGAGTGTGAGGAAGAATTAGGCAAAAAGCTGAAGCACCCTCCAAGTTAAGAACCTCTCAGTGTCTACGGATGATGACTATAATTTATCAAGTTCCACAGTTATTTGGGAGTGCTTTAAGGAGAAGTTCATTTAGGAATTTGTCTAGGCTTACTTCAGATATTCAATGCCACCTAGGCAACAAGGATCTTTTCTCAGCACTATGTTTAAGGATGGGACATAGTAAGTAGTTAGAAACGTAAAAGACCAGGGGCGCCTGGGTGGCTCAGTCGGTTAAGCGTCTGCCTTTGGCTCAGGTAGTGATCCCAGGGTCCTGGGATCAAGTCCTACTTTGGGCTCCTTGCTCAGCGGGGAGTCTGCTTCTCCCTCTCCCCTGTTCCTGTGTTCTCTCTCTCTCAAATAAATATTAAAAAAGAAAGAAACGTGTAAGACCACTCAGGACAGTTGTACTTTATTTCATGCCAGTGCTAAAACACACATGTGACTGGTGTTAGGCTTGACCCTCTCCCCTTAGTATTTCCCGGCCCCTAGTTATTATTCCATTTTGCTTTTTTTTCCTTTTCTTTCAGTTATTATATACCGTGCATGTAATTAAGCATGAGAGGTAATTTAACCTTTTTCTCATTCATCCACCCTGTACTAAATCCCCAACTAGATGCTGTAGCTCACTAATTTAATTCTTTTTTTTTTTAAAGATTTTATTTATTTATTTGAGAGAGAATGAGAGATAGAGAGCACGAGAGGGAAGAGGGTCAGAGGGAGAAGCAGACTCCCTGCTGAGCAGGGAGCCCGATGTGGGACTCGATCCCAGGACTCCAGGATCATGACCTGAGCCGAAGGCAGTCGCTTAACCAACTGAGCCACCCAGGCGCCCTCACTAATTTAATTCTTAAACTGAAAAGAAATACAATAAGAGAGAATCATAGATATCTAATCTCTCCTGACTCTGGGTCTCCCAGCTCATAGCATGAGCTAGAGTGGAAAAGTGACAGGGACGTGTCAGAAATGCCAAAGAACAGAGTCTTAGGTGTTGAGGTCAATGTGTGACAAGGGGACAAGGTTTGGGCAGCCAATACAAACGGACAAATATTTGCAGAGATTGCGTCTCTTACTGATTATGGGGGAAAGCAAATATCTCCTTTCTTCATGGGGCAGAGAAGTGGGCAGAACTGGATTGAGCAACCAAACCTATCAAGACAGTCTCGCTCCTCACATGAACTTTATGGTAATTTGGGGCCCCGTATAAATGGGTGGAAATCAAGCAGAGGAAGTCTCTGGTGACTTGAAGATGGGGAAGGCCAAGTGGGAACAATTGGGCTGCATTTCCTGATTCTTGGGCCTTTACCTAAAAATAACAGAAGTTTGGAGATGATAGATGGAGGTGTGCCCTGAGTCATGGGCTCCTTTCAGACCACAGCCCTTAAGGAAATGGTTTGTTATGTTTCTGGTTTGTCCCCTCTCCAGTGTATTCTGTTTCAGACATGTGTGACCTCAGATTCATCACGATACAAGTTGAGCTGCTTTTTTGCTACCTCCTGCTGCACCCTGTGGATGTCATTTCATATGGAAACCAGACAAATATTCCCTCATCCTTGAGATCCTGGCCACCTTCCTCAGACCCCTTGTCCTGCCAGATTCTGCTCCCAAAGTCCCTGCCTGGCTTCATCCACATGGCTCCTCTACCCAAGTTCCTGGTAGCCTTGCCACTGGTGATAGCCCTGGAGAAAGCTGGTTGCCAGGCTGATGTCTGGGCCCTGCAACTTCAACTGTACCACCAGGGGGGTGTAAAAGCTACACAGAAACTCATCCAACATCTTCAAGAGCTCCAGAAAAGCGGAAGCACAGGGAGGGTCGCTTCAGTGGATGCCCTGGCCTCTGCTCTACAGCTGTTGGCTAGGGAGCAACCAGGCCCAGAAAGGACCCGACGCTCCCTCCCTACCAATGACTGTGAGCCGGAGCAGGAGCACGGTGTGCACAATATAGTCAGGTTGTTTCCAGGAGTGGGAACCTACTACAATCTCGGCACAGCTTTGTATTATGCTGCTCTGAACTGTTCAGACAAGGCCAAGGAACGAGGCCAAGATGGGGTCATAGATATGGGTTATGACCTTCTGATGACCATGGCAGGATTGTCTGGGGGACCCACAGGACTACTAATCAGCGCTGCACTTAAACCTGCGGTGAAGGCTGGTATTGAACAGTTGATCCAGTATTACTATGGGAAAGAGGCAAACACCGCTCTGCCAGAGATCAGCATGGAGGACTGGGGGGGCACCTAAGATGTGAGTGACCTGGAAGAAACAACTACCATGGCCCTTTGGTGTTAGTTCACCTCCCTGATTAGTTCAGGGCATATATAATGGCTATGACTTAGATCCTGGGAATGGCAGTCTTGGGATATAAAAGGTGGTGATCACAGAATGAATAAATCTAATATTTTGACAAGCTGTAATATGTGTATGTTCAAAATCCCAATCTCTGGTTTGTTATCAAGGAGGAAGGAAGTGCTGTAAAATGCAGGAATTTTAAAGTTTGGGGTTTGGAGCCCGAGGATTTAGATTTGAATCCAGGCTCCACTTGTAAGAGCCTCAGTGATCACTGACCAGTAATCACTTTTACTCCAAGCTCAGTTTCTTAAAACCTCTAAAGTAGTGATAATCATTTTCATCTGCATGGGTTTTGTGGCAATTAAAAACGATACAATGAACCTCAAGTTCTTAGCAAGGTACCATCAATAAATATTTATGACTACAGCTCGTCCCTTCCTATCCCGAAGTGTCGAAATTCCGGTCCCACCTCTCATGGAGCTCTTAGAGCCTGCAGCGTCCAGGGCCAGTCTCGGTTTCTCTCCTTCCGCGAGGGTTCTCGGAAATCAGCTGTTATAGCCCCGGGCTGTTCCATTAATCGGACTCCTCCCTCCGCGGACACGGGGCGGGGCGGGGCGTAGTTGAGCTATCCCACCAATCGCTGGAGCTGGGGGTGTGTGGTTTCGGCTCCTCTTGTCCCGCCCCGCGGGGGGGGCAGTTGTGGCGGCACCAATGACTTGGGAAAGTTTGGCTGAATGGCAGCTAGCGTCGGGGTTGCCAGGCAGCGAATGGCGAGCTCCCGAGTTCAGCCGTCCGCTCCAGACGGAGAGCTACAAGGGGGCGGATCCGAGGGACGGGTTGAAGCCGAGGGCGTAGCGCGGGCGCGGGCGCTCGGGCTTTGCGGCCGGAAGCCTTGCCCTGAGCCGCTGGAGAGAGCGGGGATTGAGACCCTTACCAGGTACGGGCCCAGAGGGGGCGCGCGGGGGTCTGAGTGCAGGCGTGAGTTCCTACCCGGAAAAGGCGGCAGGCCCCGGAGGTACGCCCGGTAGTGATAAAACTTCCTCCCCAGGTTGAAATAGCCGTCTGCTGCTGCATAACCGAATCTCCCCATCCAGCCCAGCTCCCCAACCCTAACAAACATCTTCCCAAACTCCCCGGCAGCCTCCGATACCGTTAGCCAATGCTTTTACCTTCCGGTCTTAGTCTTAATTTTAATCCTCACCAAAAAAACGATGTCTAAAGGTAGATAAGATTTCACTTCCTTCGTTGTTCTTGCCATCTTGCTCTTTTAATACTAGCCGAGATTCGTTCCTTGAGAAGTGGGGCCTCTCCATTTGTGGGTTGTTTGGGTTTTTTTTTAAGATTTTATTTATTTATTTGACAGAGACACAGCGAGAGAGGGAACACAAGCAGGGGGAGTGGGAGAGGGAGAAGCAGGCTTCCGGCGGAGCAGGGAGCCTGATGCGGGGCTCGATTCTAGGACTCTGGGATCATGACCTGAGCCGAAGGCAGACGCTTAATGACTGAGCCACCCAGGCGCCCCTCCACTTGTTTTTTTAAAGCTGTACAGGTGCATAGTTTAAAAAGCCAAGCACTAGTAAGAGGATTAAAATGAAAAATAGGAGCTCCTGACCAGTCCTTTCCTCCCTGTGTTTGTACTTCAAAGAGGTAGAAAAGCATCTCATGATTATTCATACTGGTGGAAGAGAATCTCGCCCACCCCAGACATTTTTCTTTCATTTGTAATAAGATCATGTGACCTTTTTAAGACCACAAATGTATGTAAATAGTCTTTTCTGTTAGGTTCAGGCTGCAGCAAGAATAAGTTTTGATTTTTCTAAAAAGACAGATGGCAGGGGGCAGGGAAAGAGAGGAAGAAAGATTCTTAGCCCAGCCTACTTAGTAACACAAAAACCAGTTTTGATGAAATTTCACAGTGAAAAAAACAAGCAAACATCTGTGCTTTCTTTGCCCAACCCTGCCGCAGTGGGGCGGGGTGGGGGGGGGAATAAAAGAAGAAATTTCCGGGTTTTTCACAAAGTTGATAATCTACATGAAGAATCAGAGGTTGATAGAGGTCTTAAAAGTATCACAGTCATGGGCGCCTGGGTGGCTCAGTTGGTTAAGCGACTGCCTTTGGCTCAGGTCATGATCCTGGAGTTCCAGGATCGAGGCCCGGGAGTCTGCTTCTCCCTCTGACCCTCCCCCCGCCTCATTCTCTTTCTCTGAAATAAGTAAATAAAATCTTTAAAAAAAAAAAAGTATCACAGTCTTAGGGATTGAGTGACCCCTTGTGCGGTGTTTAAATATCTGGAATGGAGTTCCTCCTTACTATATGGAAAGCAGATTATAAGGTATACCTATCTCTAAAGAGGTTTCGGTCCTTGATAAAGCTTTGGGGCCAGCAGGGATCATGCTGAAATAAATAGTTATGACCCATTTATGATCTTGAAATGCTCCAGCATGAGTGAATACAAATACAAGCAAATAAATCTAAAATAAATTCATTGAGGGTGATAGATGAAATAAAGATGGTGGAAATATTGTTTAGTGAAGCTGATGATGAGATGGGTACATGGATGATTCTTGTACTATTCAGTCTACTTGGTGTGTGTTTGGAAATTATTAATACAAAAGGCCCACATACTGGAGCTCTTAACTAGTACTACCTGGAAGAATACGAACCAAACTGATAATACTGGTTACCTGTGAAGAGAAGGGGAAGGGACCAAAATTGGGAGTGGGGTCAATGTAGCTGTAATTGTGTGTGTGTATGTGTGCTTTTTCTTACCTGTGTAATTAAAAATTTGTATTGTAGTGATAGGCAGTCATGAAACTGTGGATGATTTAATCCAGCAAAATTTCCGGTTGGGAACCAGCATCCTTCAGACTCAGACCCCAAATGGCGCAGTGGGAGATGTTGCAGAATCTCAACAACCCGTTTCAGGACCAGTTGCACCAGCTGTACTCAGACTGCCTCCTGCCGATGGACATCCGACAGTACTTAGCTGTCTGGATTGAAGATCAGAACTGGTGAGTGCCTCAGGAAGTTGGGTGCGGGTGGAATGAGGAAAGTAGTTTCTTCTGAGCCCCCAGAATCCTGGAGATACCAAGGGCAGGAAGGGGTTAGAAGGCCTCGAAAGACAGCAGCAGCCCTGCGGAGATACTAATCCTTATTGTTCCCGGTCCCCAGGCAGGAGGCTGCGCTGGGCAATGATGATTCCAAGGCTACCGTGCTGTTCTTCCACTTCTTGGACCAACTGAACAACGAGTGTGGCCGCTGCAGCCAGGACCCTGAGCGCTTGTTACTACAGCACAACTTGCGAAAATTCTCTCGGGACATTCAGGTACTTGGAGGAGCCAGGGACAGCCGAAAAGCTGAATAGAAAGGGGACTGAGTGTAGAGGAGTATGGTTTAGGGTATGGAACAGGACCTGGAGATGTGAAGGGGTGGGGGCAGATCTGGGGCAAGGGAGGATGAGGTCTGGACTTGGGAGATCACTGGCAGAGAGAAAGGCAAGGTCTAGCTGACCCTGTTGGGAAGAGGCTAGGTTTTAGGGTACCAGTGGTGAAGAGGGGAAGAGCTAGGGACCCTGAAGGGGGAAGTCCTGGGGTCACTGGTGGGGAAGGTGTGGAGGGCTAGATCACTGAAGACAGTTGAGTTCAGTCAATTTTTATCTTCCTACCGCAGGCCTTTCCCCAGGGCCCGACCCAATTGGCTGAGATGATCTTTAATCTCCTTCTGGAAGAAAAAAGAATTCTGATCCAGGCTCAGAGGGCTCAGTTGGTAAGAACAATTTGTAGTGATTTTTGAACGGTCCTGGAGTAGAGAGTGACCGTGGAAAGGATTCAGGAAGTTTGTCTCACAACAAGATCCCCTCCCCCCGCCACATCCTGTGATATAATTGCAGGCCTGGATTTCAGGGATGAAAGGTCAGAATTGAAATGTACTCAGAGTCTCTTATTTCAGGAGCAAGGAGAGCCAGCCCTCGAAGCACCCGTAGAGAGCCAGCAGCATGAGATCGAATCCCGGATCCTGGAATTAAAGGCTATGATGGAGGTTAGTGGATGTGGCAAGAGTTGGGGTGGGTGAGACTCAGCCTGCTGCCTCCCACAGAAGCAGCCTCATCTGGGTCTTATCCCCTCTATAGAAGCTGGTGAAATCCATTTGCCAACTGAAAGACCAGCAGGATGTCTTCTGCTTCCGATATAAGATCCAGGCCCAAGGTAGGAAGCAAGCACACCGAGGGGTGGGGGAAGACAGGTGCCTGCTGGGAGGCCAAGGGTGGAAGAAAGGGGAAGTGAAAAGCCCCAGGAAGCAATAATCTTCTGCTGGCTAGTACACCACACCGGCTCCAGTCTCTCTGCCAGGCAAAATACAAGGGCCGGCGGATGTTGTGGAGGTTGGGCTGGAGGAGTGGCTGAGGGACAGTTGGGGGATGTTGGGGGAGATGCATGGAAAACTGCTTAGCAGATCGAGTGGGCTTTTAGTTCCAGCATGACCATTCAGAATTCGCCCGAGGGCCCAGAGGTGCCTCTGCTTTGCTTGGTTCCCCTTCTTCTCCCTTCAGAATTCCCCCACCTGACTCTGACTGAGGTCCTGGTCAGGATGGAGAGGGGAAGGAGCCCTAGGTCTGAACCTCTGTCTCACTCCTGCTCCTACCATCCAGTGAACACACTCTCTTTAGACCCCCATCAGATGAGACAGCGGCAGCTTCTGCAGGAGACTCTCAATGAACTGGACAAAAGGAGAAAGGTGGGAGGCAGACAGAGGAAGTGGGCAAGCAGGGAGTGGGGGCAAATGAGGGATGTGGGAGCCCTGGCCTCTTAGCCTTGGCTTCTTTGTCTCTTCCTCCCCAGTTGGGTGGTGGAGGGTGATGGTGAGAAGTGCTCACCACTTTATGTCTTTCGTAGGAGGTGCTGGATGCCACCAAAGCATTGCTAGGCCAATTAACAACTCTCGTTGAGCTACTGCTGCCCAAGTTGGAGGAATGGAAAGTCCAGCAGCAGAAAGCCTGCATTGGAGCCCCTGCAGATGGGGGGTTGGAACAGTTGGAGAAGTGGTGAGAGGCACCTCCCGCCTGCCCTTGTCCCAGCCACCCTGCTGTGCTTTGTAAATTGTAAATGGTGAATTGTAAGGAATGTCCTCATTCATGTAATGAATTGCCTATCTAGGCAAGAGCTACTGCTCTCCTTACTCTCTGCTCGCCAAAATGATCCCAGCTCCCTGGTGTGACCACAGTGACCATGCAGGGAACCCAGAGCCCAGTCTTTGCTTTGGTGAAAGGAATGGATTAATCCACAAGGTGGTTTCTCCTTCCTTTTTAATCACCCAGGAAATATATTTTTTACTTTTTTTTTTAAGATTAATTTATTTACTTTAGAGAGAGAGAGAGAGAGCGTGAATGCGAGCAGGGCGAGGGAGGGAAGGAGGGACTGAGGGAGAGGGAGAGAGAGAATCCTTAAGCAGATTCTCTACTGACTGTGGAGCCCAGTGTAGGGCTCGATCCCAGGACCCTGAGATCACAGTCTGAGCCGAGATCACAAGCCAGCCGCTTTACCAGCTGAGCTACCCAGGTACCCCTCTACTTTTTTTTTTTTTTAACTGTAATGACTATAATGTCAAAAAAAAAGAATGACCATTACCTGTTATTATCTTACTACCCAGATGTAGCTACTGTAATACAAAAATTGAATCATATTTTTGTACTATTTTGAGAACTGTGGTTTTTGCTTTTTAACTTAGCAGTGTATTACAGTATTTACCCATGTTATTTTTTTTTTAAATAAGACAGGCTGATTTTTTTTTTAAGATTTTATTTATTTATTACGTAAACTCTGCACCACCGTGGGGCTCGAACCTACCACCCTGAGATCAAGAGTCCCATGCTCTACCACCTGAGCTAGCCAGACACCCCTACCCATGTTTTTGGGTTTGTTTGTTTAAGTAGACTCCATGCCCAGCATGGAATCCAACGTGAGGCTTGAACTCATAACCCTGAGATCGAGACCTGAGCTGAGATCAAGAATCAGATGCTTAACGAACTGAGCCACCCAGGTGCCCCATACCCATGTTATTTTTAATGGTTGCCTTATAGTTCCCTGTATGGAGGTAACATAATGTAGTTAATGAACTCCTATTTTTGGACATTTAGGTTGTTTTTTAATTTCTTGCTATTTTTTTTAGTAAGCTCTTTTATATTAATTTTTTTGTGATGTGGAAAAAATAACTAGTATGCCTTTCAATGTACTTAGAATACCTACTGTTTTAAATATTTTCTACTGAGAAAATTCATTATAATTTATTAAAAATGGGGGTGCCTGGCTGGCTCAGTTGGTAGAGCATGTGACTCTTAATCTTGGGGTTATGAGTTCAAGCCCCATATTGGGGGTAGAGTTTACTTTTTAAAAAAGTAAATAAATAATATTTTAAAAAGTAAACTATTGGGGCGCCTGAGTGACTCAGTTGGTTAAGCGTCTGCCTTCGCTCAGGTCATGATCCCAGGGTCCTGGGATCGAGTCCCACATTGGGCTCCCTGCGCAGCCGGGAGCCTGCTTCTCCCTCTCCCTCTGCCACTCCCCCTGCTTGTGCTCTCTCCCCCGCCCCTCTGTCGAATAGATAAATAAAATCTTAAAAATAAATAAAAAGTAAACTATTAAGAATGAATCACAACAATGTTCATGTAAATTGAAAACAGGTATATAGGGCTTAGTGTACAGAATTACTATTTATTTATTTTTATTTTTTAAGATTTTATTTATTTATTTGACAGAGAGAGGGAGCACACAAACAGGGGGAACAGCAGAGGGAGAGGGAGAAGCAGGCTTCCCGCTGAGCAGGGAGGCCGATGTGGGGCTCGATCCCAGGACCCTGGGATCATGACCTGAGCCGAAGGCAGACGCTTAACCAACTGAGCCACCCAGGCACCCCTTTCTGATCAACCTTGTGCTGCTCCATAATCTCACATTTTTTTTCCCTTTTGAAGATCTCACCTTCCTGGTGTCTGGGTTTATGCAACTTCTTCTTGAAGTAAGCATCAGTGCTTACTGATGAGTAAGATGTTGGGAATTTTCTGATAGCAATTTTGGTGGAGGTGGCAAGGACATATTTCTGGTGTGTTCTTCATGGAGGAACTCGATTGAGGGCCAGAGGGCCAGTCACAAGTAGCAAGCCACTGCTCAAATGCTTTAGGAAAACCACCCCCTTGCCTCTGTGGAGCCCAGTGAGGATGATCACAATGGGGCCAGGAGGGGCGCCTCCATGGCTCAGTCAGTTAAGTGTCTGCCTTCCGCTCAGATCATGATCTCGGGGTCCTGGGATCAAGCCCTGAATGGGGTTCCCTGCTCAGCAGGGAGTCTGCTTCTCCTTCTTCTTCTCCCTGTGCCCTTCCCCCTGCTCATGTTCTCTTTCTCTCTCGCTCAAATAAATAAAATCTTAAAAAAAAATATGCCAGGAGTGACACTGGCTTGCAGTTTTCTCACATGCTGATGGAAAGGGTTTTTTTGCCGTGGCTCAACAGCTTTCAAGCCACATCTTCAGTAGGATAATACCTAGACATTTTGTGAAGTTTAACCACTCAGGTTCCACCATTCTTGTCACCACCAACTGGTTTTGTGACAGTAGCAAGAAACTTCTCCTTTTTCAACTCTGGACTTAGCTGCTGAATGCTTCCTGTTGTACATGGCCTTTCTGGAATACATAGCCGATGGGAAATATCTGCCAATTCCTCCGACTAGGACAGGGTTTTGGCTGCAGTGGGGCTTCCCTTTCTTTGGCGTTTTAGCCTGGAGCTTACGCTTCTTATCTTGCCACCGGCATCAGCCTTCTTGGCTCCAGGTTTCTTCTCCTTAGCATCCGGCTTCTCAGCTTTTTCACCCACCATCTTGCAAGATGGGAAAGGATTTTTTTTTTTTAAGTTTATTTATTTATTTAAACAACCCCTACACCCAGTGTGGGGCTCAAACTCACAACCCTGAGATCAAGAGTTGTATGCTCCTCCACCTGAGCCATCTGGGTGCCCCTATTTCTTGCGATTTTAAACAGTGCTGCAGTAAATATCCTCATAGCTACATCTTTATTTACATTCCTAATTATTTCTGTAATATAAATCCCCAGAAGTGGTATTCCTGGGTTAAAGGACATAGCTGTTCTTTTTGGTGGTGTTATTGTTATCGTGTTGATCCTTTGTTTCATTGTTTGTTTTGTTTTTAAAGATTTTATGTATGTATTTATTTGAGAGAGAGAGTATGGGGTGGGGGGAGGGGCAGAGGGAGAGAGCGAGAAGCAGACTCCCCACTGAGCGTAGAGCCCAACATGGGGCTCGATCTCAGGACCCTGAGATCATGACCTGAGTGAAAGTCAGTCATTTAAACCTCCAACTCTTGGTTTGGGGCAGGTCATGGTCTTGGGCTCATGAGATTGAACCCTGTATGGGGCTCCCCACTCAGTGTGGAGTCTGCTTGAGATTCTTTCCCCCTTCTCCCTCCCCCTTTTCTCCTCCCCACCTCCACTCTCCCTCTGTCTCTCTAAAATAAGTAGGGGCACCTGGGTGGCTCAGATGGTTAAGTGTCTGCCTTCGGCTCAGGTCATGATCCCGGGGTCGTGGGATCGAGCCCCACATCGGGCTCCTGGCTCAGCGAGGAGCCTGCTTCTCCTTCTCCCTCTGCCTCTCTCCCTGCTCAGGCTCTCTCCTCTCTCTCTCTGTATCTCTGTGTCTCAGATGAATAAATAAAAAAAAAATCTTTTAAATAAATAAATAAATAAAATGAGTAAAACCTTTTTTAAAAAAAGAGCAGGGTGCCTGGGTGGCTCAGTCGTTAGGCGTCTGCCTTCAGCTCAGGTCATGATCCCAGCGTCCTGGGATTGAGTCCCGCATCGGGTTCCCTGCTCCTTGGGAGCCTGCTTCTCCCTCTGCCTCTGCCTCTCTCTCTCTGTCTCTCATGAATAAATAAATAAAATCTTAAAAAAAAAAAAGAAAGAGCAGGGCGCCTGGGTGGCTCTGTCGTTAGGCGTCTGCCTTCGGCTCAGGTCATGATCCCAGGGTCCTGGGATCAAGCCCCGCATCGGGCTCCCTGCTCAGCGGGAAGCCTGCTTCTCCCTCTCCCACTCCCCCTGCTTGTGTTCCCTCTCTCGCTGTGTCTCTCTCTCTGTCAAATAAATAAAATCTTAAAAAAAACAGAGCTTTGATTTTTCTGATTATAAATATAACGTGTCCCAATTGGAAAAAATATTCAGACAATTTAAAAGAAAAGAAAGTAAAAACCACCCATTTGCATAACCTTATCATGCAGGGGTACTCATTGTTAGGGCTTTTAAATACATTTTTTTAGATTTTCCCTATGCATATACATAAATATACATCTATACATCTGTTTTAAAGATTTTATTTTTAAGTAATCTCTACACCCAGTGTGGGGCTTGAACTTATAACTCCTTGTGTTCCCTCTCTCGCTGTCACTCTCTCTGTCAAATAAATTTTTAAAGATTTTATTTATTTATTTGACAGAGAGAGCACAAGCACGGGGAGCGGCAGACAGAGGGAGAAGCAGGCTCTCCACTGAGCAGGGAGCCCGATGTGGGACTCGATCCCAGGACCCTGGGATCATGACCGGAGCTGAAGGCAGATGCTCAACCAATTTAGCCACCCAGGTGTCCCAGAAATAAATCTTTCACCAGTTTTATATGTGAAAGTGGCCCTGATTTTTATTTCTTGGGTTATGAATCATGTTGCATAATCTTTCATATGCTTCCTGGGTTCTTTTTTCATCCCAATCAGTTTCTACCTCTCCACATAGTTAAAGGGGAGCTTCTGGAGCCTGTCTGGGGGCACCGGGAAACTCATCAGTTCTCTCTCTCTCTGGAATCCTATCACCCAGGTTCACAGCTGGAGCCAAGCTGTTGTTTCACCTGCGCCAGCTGTTGCAGGAGCTGAAGGGATTGAGTCGCCTGGTTAGCTATCAGGATGACCCTCTGACCAAAGGGGTGGACCTGCGGAAGGCCCAGGTCACGGAGTTGCTACAGCACCTGCTCCAAAGGTCCAGAGGCCAGGGTGGGACCTCCCGGGAGGGCAGAAGGAAAGAGCACGAGGAGCCATTCTTACAGAGACCGAGCTGTATGTTCTCTCCACAGAGCCTTTGTGGTAGAAACCCAGCCCTGCATGCCCCAAACTCCCCATCGACCCCTCATCCTCAAGACTGGCAGCAAGTTCACTGTCCAAACAAGGTTGGCATTTCAGAACTCATTCCTGCTGCTTTTTTCCAGCCCCGGTACCACTGTTTGCTTTCTCGCTTTACAGATATTTCTGCTCTTGTCTTCTCTCTTTTCTCCTCCATCCACATTCTTCTTCGTCTTTGTCTCCTTTGTCTCCTCCCCCTCCCCCGCCTCCTCCTTCCTTTTCTTCTTCTTCTTCATCTATCCAGGAGATTGAGGCTGACTGCTTTCCCCTATCCACCTCCCCTCCCCCTAGGCTGCTGGTGAGACTCCAGGAAGGCAATGAGTCACTGACTGCAGAAGTCTCCATTGACAGGTAAGTTGGGGCACGTGGGACCATGGGGCAGCCAGGACATGGGCTGCTGGGGCTGAGGAGACACGCATTCTTCACCATAAGGCCCTGGGGCTGTGTTCTTACCCCGTCGATTCCTACCTCAGAAATAAGAACTCCTCGCTTTTGTTGAGCACTCTAGGACATGCAGCTTGTCAAGTCCTCATTTGTCATAGGAACCCCATGAATTAGGTATTATCATTCAAATGAAGAAACAAGCCCAGAGAGATCGTGTCTCTTGTGCAAGGCCACATGGCTAGTGAGCGCAGATCTGGGTTTGAACCCGGGTCTGTCCGATCCTAAAGACTAAATTCCTAACTCCTACACTGTTTTGCTTCCCGGTGATTTTTTGTTTGTTTGTTTCTTTTCAGGACTCCTCCTCCATCACAAAGGTAGGTGTCTGACAAGGACTGCACAACCACATGGGGGCACAGACGAGGGGGAGGTTTATTTGGTTGGGGTAGAGACGAAGGGAGAAGGGGAGGTCTGACATGAAGTGGAATTTTTGTTGTTTTTCTGCTGAGTTTGTAGAGTAACTCTGCTCCTGTTCTCCATATATCTTCTTCCTCCTGGAATAGCTTCCGGAAGTTCAACATTCTAACCTCAAACCAGAAAACTTTGACCCCTGAGAAGGGGCAGAGTCAGGGCTTAATTTGGGACTTCGGCTACCTGGTAAGAAGGACTAGTAGCTTAAGCTTCTGGTGCAATGGAACAGGCAAAGGGAAGTTTCCAGGCCTTGGGAAGTCTTGAGGCAAAATGGGGGATACCAGGCACCCTGGAGTCCCCGCTCGGGCATTTTACTCTCCTTCTCTCAACTCACAGACTCTGGTGGAGCAACGTTCAGGTGGTTCAGGAAAGGGCTGCAATAAGGTGAGGCCTGGACAGAGGATTGGGGGATGGGAGGAACTTGCCACAGGGCTTTCTGACTGTTGTGTCTTCGGCTGTCCTAGGGAATGCTGGGTGTGACAGAGGAACTGCACATCATCAGTATTACAGTCAAATACACCTACCAGGGTCTGAAGCAGGAGCTGAAAGTGAGTGAAAATGGAGGGCAGGGAGAGATGAAGCAGATTTGGCCGAGGGCATTAAGGAGGGGTTAAATAGAAGCCTCTCAGCGTGGGAAATTCTCCCCCTTGGCCCTGTCAGAGCTAGAGACATCACGTCCCCTTCTGACTCCTGTTTCCTCTTCAGACGGACACCCTCCCTGTGGTGATTATTTCTAACATGAACCAAGTCTCCATTGCCTGGGCCTCGGCTCTTTGGTTCAATCTGCTTAGCTCAAACCCCCAGGTAGGAGGTGGGGCCAAGGGTGAGGGAAGGCCAGGAGGGGTGTGGAAGCTTGGTAGGAGGGCGCGCCTTCTGAGCCATTCTGCCTGCTTCCTACCCTTGCAGAATCAGCAGTTCTTCTCCAGCCCCCCCAAGGCTCCCTGGAGCTTGCTGGGCCCTGCTCTCAGCTGGCAGTTCTCCTCCTATGTGGGCCGAGGCCTTGACCCAGACCAGCTGAGCATGCTGAGGAACAAGCTGTTTGGTACAGACCTCCTTTTCTCTCAGCCTTTCCCTGGCTCTTGTTTGCCCAGCCCTCCGTCCTCTCTGTTCCAGGGACCCTAGCCTTGCTTCCTTCCATTATCTGAACTGTCTGTCTGCCCATAGGGCAGAACTCTACCACGGAGGGTGCATTGTTATCCTGGGCCGACTTCACTAAGGTAACTCCCTGCGTCCTGTGCGGCTAGATCTAGCCCCTCTGCAAACACTAGTCCTTCCCTGCCTTACTCCTTCTGCTCACTGCGGGCACCTCCACATCTCTTCCTGCCTTCCCGTGCCTCCTACAGCGAGAGAGCCCTCCTGGCAAGCTACCATTCTGGACGTGGTTAGACAAAATTCTGGAGCTGGTACATGACCACCTGAAGGATCTCTGGAATGATGGGTAAGGCCTTGGTCAGCCTCCCTCTCCCCATCCCTCCCTTTCTGCCTTTCTGGGCTTGAGAGCGGACTCCGGGCGCCCTCATGCGGCACAAAGGGAGAGAGCAAACACTGGTGCAAGGTTGCAAGGTCACACCCCCTCCCATTTGCGAAAATAGTCCTAGGCAGCGCGCCTCTAGCATCTGTTGTGCCCCGGAGCCTGCTGGGTGCTCTTTATGAATTCTCTCGTGTAATCCTTACAACCACGCTGAGCCGCAGAGAAGTTAGAGAATTCACCCAATGCGTATAGTCCTGTCTGAATACAAGCCTACCTCTTCCCACAACACTGCCTGCTCATTTGTACAGTACTTTACCTTTTACGAGGTGCTTTTCATCTATGTGACCTCGCGGAAGCCTCGCACCTCTTCCAACCCTGGAAGGTGGATACTGTCAGTAAGCTGAAGTGACTTGGCTGAGAGCGAGGGCCAGAAGCCGGCACCTCTCTCCCCGGACAAGGAGAGCGGGAGAGCAGGGAGGCAGGTTGGCCTCACGGCAGCTTTTCTGTGTTTCAGACGCATCATGGGCTTTGTGAGCCGGAGCCAGGAGCGCAAGCTGCTGAAGAAGACCATCTCCGGCACCTTTCTCCTGCGCTTCAGTGAAACATCGGAAGGGGGCATTACCTGCTCCTGGGTGGAACACCAGGATGACGGTCAGCTGCTCCGCCCCAGCGTGCCCACAGCCTGTCCTCTCTGCCCCTTGGCCAGCCCTGGCCTTCCCTGGCTCTGTCCTGAATCTCTCAGCAGGCTTGGGGCTGGACAGCCAGGGCGGGACGCCCCAGCCGCGCCCCCCCCCGCCCCTTCAGGCCCGCCTGTTCCCTTCTACAGACAGGGTGCTCATCTACTCTGTGCAGCCCTTCACCAAGGACGTGCTGCAGTCTCTCCCACTGACCAAAATCATTCGCCACTACCAGCTGCTCACTGAAGAGAACATCCCCGAGAACCCACTGCGCTTCCTCTACCCCCGGATCCCCCGGGATGAGGCTTTCGGGCGCTACTACCAGGAGAAAGGTGAGAATCATTGACATACATCACTGGAAGGTGGCAGGGATTCTCAGGCATCTACAGATCCAACACCTTTCTTCCAGACATGGAAAAACTGATAGCCAGAGACGTGAAAGGATTTGTGCCTGGGACGCTGCTAGTTAGCAGGGAGACATGATTATCAGGACCATTTGCACGAGGGGTCCTGGGGCTATGCGTCCAGCCCCCTGACCTCCCTGTCCTCCTGCGTGTGTGCCCCACAGTTAATCTCCAGGAACGGAGGAAATACCTGAAACATAAGCTCATCGTGGTCTCTAACAGGTGAGAGATGCATTTTTCACCCATCCTCCCTAACCCTCGCTGGCTGATTTAGTGACCCAAACCTGCTTAGTTCACCTTGCTGGCCTTCTCTCCTACTGACCCATACTCTCCAGCCTCTAGGTTTTTTTTCTTGTTCTGCTAGCCTCTTTCCTCTCTAGTGTTCTGCTGCCATCCTTAGGTTGTTTCTACAGGGCTTTCCTGCTAATAATCGCCATAATCACTGCCGTTCATGGGCATCTACTTGAAGCATGGTACTAGATATTTTTTTAAGAACAGATTTTTTTTTTCATTTTATTGAATTCTTTTGAGAACCCATCCAAGTAGGTGATGACAGCCACGTTTAATGAAAGTTTATTATATGGCAGGTATGGGGCTAAATGTTTGTGTTTAGTTTCTTATTTATCGAATCTCTGTAATAGTACCGTGAGGCAGACTTGGGTATGACTCTGTGTAGCCGAAGAACCTGAGGTTTAGCGTGGTGACGTGGCATGCCTAAGGCACATGGCTAATAAAGGATCCTTCTTTTAACCATCCTACGGCCTCTCAAGTGTTATTAGGGGGCGGTGTTCACATTTTATCGATGATAAATCCGAGGCTCAGAAAGCTGAAGATCACCCATCTAATAAATGATAGGATTCAAACTCTGGCAAGCCTGATTTCAAAGCCTGTGCTCTTAAGGCCTCTGCTCTGTTGCTCTGTTGCCTTTTGTTTTGTTTTGTTTTTTAAGATTTTATTTATTTATTTTAGAGAGAGAGTGAGTGAGTGGGGGCAGGTGGGTAGAGGGAGAGGCAGAAAGAGAATCTCAAGCAGGCTCTGCTGCACTGAGCGTGGAACCTGACTCGGGGCTCGATCTCCCAACCCTGAGATCATGACCTGAGCCGAAATCGAGTCAGATGCTTAACAGACTGAGCCACCCAGGCACCCCCGCTCCGTTGCCTTCTTAGCCTAGAGAGATAGTCTCTGCTTGCTCAGCCATTCCCCACTTCACCTAAACAGCCAAGCCTGGCCCCTTTGTATTGCGGTATCCAGACAGGTAGATGAGCTGCAGCAACTGCCAGACCTTAAGCTGGAGCCGGAAGCGGAGTCACTTGAGCTGGAGTCGGGCCTGGCGCCGTTGCTAGATCTAGAGCCAGGCCTGGAGTTAGAACCACTGCTGGAGGTGGGGCTGGACCTGGGGCCTGTGCTGGAGCCCCTGGTGGAGCCCGCACCAGATGTGGTACAAAGAGCGTCAGAGCCAAACGTGGCACCAGAGCTGAAGCTGGAGCCTGTTCTAGACCCTGAATCACCAGCAGTGCCAGAGCAAGAACTGCCAGATGACCTGAGACACTTAAACACTGGGGAAATGGAAAGTAAGTGGTGAGCTGGGGTTGGGGAAGAGAGGACACATTCCCTTTCCCAACTGCCCTCCCTTACCCATTATAGAAAACGCTGAGCCCTAAGCTCCTCATTGGAGGGAGGCTCATTTCTTTGTGATTCCTTTTATTAGAAAATGTACATGCCTCCTCCTTCCCCGACCTGAGTGCCTCCTCAGGCCTTGTTCAGGGCTCTGCTGCCATCCTCCCTCATTTTCCCTGCTGGGCTGGGAACTCCTTACCTAAGATCAGGACCTGATTTCTTTCTTTGGACTACCTTAGTCTTCAGAAACAGTATGAAGATTGAAGAAATCATGACAAATGGTGACCCACTGTTTGCTGGACAGAACACCGTGGACGAGGCTTATGTCTTCCACTCCAGCCATTTCTACATGGAAGGGCCCTTGATTCCTTCTGACTACTAGGAGCGACATTTCCTCTGTTCTCCCTGTATCTTTTGTCCTTCCTAGCCCCCACATCATGATGTTGCTCTCCAAGGATGGAAAACCCATTCTGAGCTGGTTAACTCTGGGTTTGGGAGTGGGAAGTAAAGGCAGACTACGGGTAAGGAATGGGCACCAATGGATCAGAATAGATGTTAGCTGTGGCTCTAACTGGGATCTTTGAGGCCAGCTGCTCTAACTGGGATCTTTGAGGCCAGCTGCTCTTTGGGGAGGTATAGGAGTTCTGAGGGTAGGCCAGCACAATTAGGCGGTACTTAGAGGGCTCAGGCACTTGGAGTGGCTTCTTTCTAGTATGGGAGGATGTCAACATTTGAATAGTTGGTGAAGCTAACGTGGTGGTGCCCACTAGCATTGGCCATCGGTAGGGAACAGAAACGTGATAGGATTCCATTTCTCTCTTCTGGTTCTTTCATGTCTAGAATAAAACCTGTTCCTTCCTTCTTCCCCTCACTCCTGATTAAAGTCCTAAATTCCTTTGTTTCCTGCAGAGACTGAGAGCTTTCTGCTTCAGCCCACCATGTGAGGCTCCCCTCAGAAGAAGGGAATAGGAGATAAACCTCCTCTGCTTACCAGTCTCCTCCCCTGCCACGCCGAGCTGGCCACACCCATTCCTTCCCCTAAAATGATCCTGCCAATCTAATATGTCTGTGAAGCTTTGCACAATAATTTACTCTGTCTAGTCTCCACTTCCTCAATGCTTAGGAGACGAATCACTCTTGGAGGCCAGGGATGGTAGGGTGGCTGGGAATTTAGGGATTGCTTTTTATAGTATTAGAATTTGGTGTTTTTACAGACAAAGAGAAGCCCTGGGTCTTAGATATTCCTCTATTAAGATAACCATTCATTCTTTTGTACCATATATTGCTTATCTGAAAGAGTTTCTATTCCTTGGGTGTGGACCTGGTTCAAAAACCAGGTTCCTGGAACTTAGAGCCTTGAATGTTTATCATGGGGCTCCAGACAACCTCACACGTTACTCATCCCCAGGGAACACCAGGACAACTGCCATTGCGCTAAAAGGTGTTTCTAGGGGCGCCTGGGTGGCTCAGTCGTTAAGCGTGTGCCTTCGGCTCAGGTCATGGTCCTGGGGTCCTGGGATCGAGCCCCACATCGGGCTCCCTGCTCGGCAGGAAGCCTGATTCTCCCTCTCCCGCTCCCCTCTGCTTGTGTTCCCTCTCTCACTGTGTCTCTGTCTGTCAGATAAACAAATAAAATCTTTAATAAATAAGTAAATAAATAAAAATAAATAAAAATGTGTTTCTAGTATAACTTGAGATGGCCTGAAAGTGAGGCCCTGTACATACGGCTGTTTTCTGGCTGGTATGTTAGAAGAATAGTCCTGTTCAGAAGGAGGCCCTTCTGAGCAGAAGTGGCTAATAAACTTTGTACTGACCTAGAAGTGTTTCCTCCCTGAACTTCTTTACTTCTCTGCTCACAAAGGCTAATAATCTTTGGAGACACCAGCAGGCCATGTAGGATCGAGGTCAGCAAATCATGACCTGTCTTCCGGCCACCCCAGTAGGCACCCTCTTGTAATGTTTTTCTTCTCACCCTACTGTTTAGAACAGCTTTTCCTGTCCCTTTAGATTCTTCCGGGGGCAGGGGGGGAGCGGCACTGAGAGCCATCTATGAGTTGAGGGGTATGGTGAGCGGTTCTATAACTAGCCCATTGTCACTTAGCTGGTTGGTGACAAAGCCAAGATACAAGCCTGGGTCAGTTTGACTCCAAAGCTCATGTGTTTTTAATGTGGCTGTGGAGAAAAGGAAGGGGAATGACCACAGTAGCCTTCCCCTTCTCTTTGTTTCACAGGTAGTTGACCTCTGCTTGGGTAGTCAAACCCTCTGATGGGGCTCACAGATGTCTATTCAGGGAGAATCCCATTTTAATTTGGGGGATTTACCACTCTCATCCTGGAATGCCCTTCCTGCTCAAAACAGCTCTGACTTCTGATCCTGCAGTGATTCGGACTCCTGTCTTTGGCCAAATACACTCTTGGCCAAGAGGCCGAGGAGGCACAGGGTCAGGCGGCAAAAGCAGTCACATTTAGGGGCCCAACTTCCTAATCTTAACCCTTCGTAATCCCATTCAGCTTGCTCAGCTATATGGGGATCCAGACCAAAAAGATCCCAGTTAGTCTATGGATACACAAGAAGGTCATGAGGATATAGCCCTCTCCACTGGAGCCCTGCAGCGTAGAAGGAGGCATGCTATAGTCCTTTGGCCCTGTTTTTCCTTTTCCCAGCCAAGCCTAGAAACAGACTCAGATATCCATATAAATAAGTCTTTATTGAAAAAAGTACATAATTCAGAATAAATATAATAAATAATCCTCCCCAAGCTGCTGCCCTGAGGATAAATAATCTCAAGTTTTCCCTTCCTATTTAATAAATACCCAACTTTGTCCTAGGTCAGCAGCATAAGTTAGTCAGTATCGGGAATTTTCAACATACGCAAGTCTCATTAGAATTAATGGACTAATTAACTTGTTGGCTCACAGGCGCTTGGGCTGGTTCATTTTAGCCCTGTTGAGCCAAGGAGATCTGGGTGCCATCCGTAGGCCGTTGGCCTGAGGGGCTCAGGGTTGCTGCTCCGTGGGCAAAGACCCGGGCAGCTACAGCCAGAAAGGCCTGAAGGCTGCGAAGGATCTTGAAGCGGAGAAGGAGACGCTGCCATGGCTGGCTGGGACTGGGGCTTGGAGTTTGCTCAGTCTCCCAGTGGGGCCCCTCAGGCTGAAAGGACACAGGACACGATCAGAGAGAACTCTAGATCCTTCACCCTCCAGTCCTCGTCTCTGCTACCTGCAAGCCCCCATTCTCCAGGCCCCTGGTTCATACCTGCAAGAGTTGCCTAAGGCCCAGGAGGGAGGCGTGAAGCTGGCCCGCAGGGCCATCGGGGAGTAGCGAAGGCTCCCCTGTGAAAATGTCTGAGCCCAGCAGCTTCTCATAAAAAACCAGGCCCCGGTGGATCCTTTGTAAGCAGAACTGGTGGGGGTGGGGGGAAAGAAAGCGGTGAAAGGAAACAGATCCCTTCCTCCTACTCCCTTCACCAAAGACCCACCCAGTTCTTTGCCATTCTTAGACACTGCTATGGGCTGAATGTTTGTGTCCCCACAAAATTCAGATGTTGAATTCTAACCCCCCAATATAATGGTATTAGGAGGAAGGGATTTCACGAGGCGATGAAGTCATGAGGGTGGGGCCCTCTTGAACGCAGTTAGTTCTCTTCTAAAAGAGACCCACGGAACTCCCAAGGCCCTTCTGTTGTATGAAGATACAACGAGAAGTCTGGAGTCTGGAAGAAGGCCCTCACCTGACCGTGCTAGCGCCCTGGTCTCTGACTTCCAGCCTCCAGAGCTGTGAGAACTAAATTATTTTTGATGTTTATAAGCCACCTGGTCTGTGGTATTTGGTATAGCAGGCTGAACGGACAAGGACAGATAGAAGTTCTCCCAGTTCACCACGACACCCCACGATGTCTTAGTCCCCTCTTCCTGGAGGTCCAGCCTCATCTTACTACCTGACTGTTGTCTCTGAGTCCTTGGGGATCACAGCCATCCCCACACTGGATGCGGGGGACCTCATTTGTGGTCTCGCCATCTCCCTCTTCTCTTGGGAGGTCCTGGAATGGAGGAGGGGGTGGGAAGAGTGAAGAGATGAGAGAAGTGCTTTCAGACTCCACTAGGACCCTCAGGCCCACGACTCTCCCAGGAACCGCATTCCCCCATGTCCTCTCTTACTCTGTGATGTGATGACCTTCGACCCTCCAGCTTCCATCCAAAGCCACAGAGTCTTCCACTGCAGCCTTGGAGAGCTGGGATAGGCTCCTGTTTGGTGCCAGAGCCTGTTACTTACCACATGTCCCATCGGAGGATGTGCACTCCAGGCCAGCGTGCAGAGCTTCTGTGAGAGCTGTTGGCCCCGAGCCCAGGCAGGGCGACGGTCCTCAGGCACAGCCCGGGCCTGAGCCAGCCGGGGCAGCTGCAGCAGCAGAAGCAGAAGCATCACAGCCCTGCTCCCCAGCATCTTGTTGCCTGCTTCGCAAATCTGGCTGGCTCTGTGCCTCGCACCGGTCCTTGTGGAATCTCTACCCACTTCCCTTTCTTCTGAGCCTGATGCTCTCCGTTCTGTGTGTCTCTGATTTGGTTCCTTCTGTTGTTCACTGAGTTTCTGAGCTGCTTCCTGCTATTTTTCTCCCCTTGTCTCTGAGTCTCTTTTTAAGGTCCCTGCATTGTAAGGCCCGCCCTTTATACTAGCAGGTGACTCACAGCAGGTGGGATTCCCCTCCCTGCATCATCCCCCTCCGTGGGGAGCCCAGGTAGGCAGCCTCAGCTCCAAGGGAAATGAGATGTGTGGTTGCTGTGGCTGGAGGCCTGGGATGGGGCATATGTGTAATGCTCTTCATGAATCGCAATGGCTGTGGAGGGGGTGGGGGGTAGGAGGAATGAATATTTAAATGAATCTAGTCTCAAGTTGCTTCCTGTTTAACCTTTCCCTCATCTTTTTGCTTCTCAAAGCTAGATCTTTCCCCCCAGCATCTAATTTCCTTACCTCCTGCCTGAGGAAAAAACAAAAACGGAAGCATTCATTTATTTCCCAATAGAATAGCGGGCCCAGTTTGGAATGAAGTTTGGTTCCCACCTGGTGCCCTCTATCTAAGAAGCAGGGGGCTTCTCTCTCTCCCTTGGGAACAGTAATTTTCACTGGAAAAGAGGGACCTCGACAGCACTTTGTGAACTGAGAAGCTATATAAAACCATATAAGGTATTACTGCTCCCCCTTCAGGCCTCACTGTGGAGGCTAGGAGGGCTCTTGGAGGGAGAGTTGTAGCTAAGAACCATGTGATTTCTCAGCCTCAGTGGCCAAAAGTTTCATAGGATCTGTGGGGTTCAGGTGATGGTTCTTTTGGGATATCAGTATAAGCAAGGGCTAGGAGTCAAATTTAGATATAGAATATATATCCCAGCACCCAGCCCCCATCCCACAGTTAGGAAGTCCAGGAGTTCTGGGGAGTTGAAGGTGTGCCGTGTCAATGACCCTGGCCAGTCCTTCAGCCTGTTGCATCCATGGGTAAAATCCGCTGACACTGATTTCATCACCCTCCCTGATGCAACATCCAGTGAAACAGCTGAGAATGTGAGGTTGGGCGTGGGAGTGGGGGGTGGTCCAAATATGGGACTGCCCCAACCCCAGTGGAGGGTCCCCAGAACAATTTGGACGTCAGAATGAGGACATGGCTGACCACACAGATGGTCCTGAAAGCCTCCCCAAGAGGTTGACCCTTCTCTGAGAAAGTTACCCTTGACAGAAGTCTCCCTTCCCTTAGAACTATTCAAAACCGCCCAATGAAATTTTGATTCAAATATTAGGACTCTGTTGTAAATCTATCCTTTGGATAGAACATTCCCAGCATCAGGACAGGTTATCTCAGTTTGAGTGGGAAATGGTTTGCCTCTCTCTAAATATGGTAGACACAAATGGAATAAGGAAATGGGGGTGGGAGGGAGGAGGGGAAGCTCACCTCACTGTGTTTAATGTCTCCTGTGTTCTTCCCACCTCTGGCCCCATTCTGGGAGGCCTAAAGGATAGGAGATGAAAGGTAAAAGAAGGAGGAGGAAGTAGACTCCTGGGGGATGGGGTGACAGAGACAAGGGGGAGTTGGAGGCACGGGGCTCTGCTGCTTTGTTTCACTTCCTGGTGCTTCGAGAGTTGGGTAGGAAGCAAGGTTGGTGGGGTGATTGTGGGACTGTTCTGTGGCAGGAACTACTTCCAGGACTAGATCTGACCCGGAGCTCCAGTGACCCCTTGACGTCAGCAGGGACTCAACCGTTATGCAAATCACATTCACAAGACACTCCTAGGCAGGCCTTTCCAGTTGGATGCCCAGGCTCCAAATCCAGTTGAAGGTCCCCTAGGGAGTTAATAATGATGGCTAATATATAGGCAGCTCTCACTTTATGCCAAGTACTTGGTCTAAGCACTTTTTATGCATTAACCCATTTAACTCTCACAGCACCCAGTGAGGTAGGTACTATTATTATCCCTATATTACAGATGAAACAGAGATAAGTAATTGACCGACGATCACGGAGCTGAGTAGCCAGAATCCCAGGGCAGACAATCTGCTTTCAGATCCTGCATTCTCAATCATTCTATTACACTGGACACTGTGAGGAGACACAAAGTGTCTTTATAAAGTGGCTCAGTCAGTCCAGGTATCTCTGAGTATCGGGGGCCCTGCAATTCTCATAGGTCTGTGAAGTCTTTCTCAAACTGAGACCTCAATATGGAAATTTCTCAAAGTGTACAAACTGTCTAGGTCTCTCAGCACTCATCTTTTCCCAAGATTTTAAATCTAGGGACCTGTGAAGTCAGATCAGTTTGAGAGACCCTCTGAATTAAGGTGTTTTTCTCTCCATCTTTGACTTCTGACTGATTCTAGGACCCCTGTGAATCCTGGAAGTCTATGGAGTCCTTTTCTTTTTTAAAAGATTTTTATTTAGGGGGACCTAGGTGGCTCAGTCCTTTGGGAGTCTGCCTTCGGCTCAGGTCATGATCCCTGGGTCCCGGGATCCAGCCCCACGGTTCCCCGCTCAGCTGGGAGCCTGCTTCCCCCTCTGTCTCTGCCTCTCCCTCTCTGCCCTGCTTGTGCTCTCTCTCTCTCTCTCAAATAAATGAAATCTTAAAAAAATTTTTTTTTATTTGAGTGAGTGAGAGAGAGCATGAGTGGGGGATGGGCAGAGGGAGAGGGAGAAGCAGGCTCCCCGCTGAGTAGGGAGCCCGATGTGGGGCAATTATGACCTGAGCCAAAGACAGATGCTTTACTGACTGAGCCACCCAGGCACCCCTGAAGTCCTTTTATTACAGTGTATTTAGCAGCCTTTATTGAGAGAGAAGTGCTTTAACTCTATCCTGGGTGAGAAGTTCCTTCCATCAAGAGGCCCTCTGTGTGGCCTTTAGAAACTGAGCTAAAGTGCCGTGGAGACATCTCACAACCTGGTCCCATTCCACAGCAGTTCAAGCTCAGAATCAGACCCCAAGAATCCCTAAAACTAACTGTTGATGCTAAATCTGTAAGAGTTTGGGGTAAGCAAATGTCCCAATTTGCCGTGCTCATCCCCCTCTGAGGGAGAACGTCCTGCTTCAACAGCTTGGGGAATTTGATAGCTGAGGGGTCTTGCTCCCCGGGATTATCACTGGGGCAGGTGGGGAGGGGATCATCACAGATGGGAGTTTCAGATGGATGCCTACAGAATCGTAGAAGACGCGGCTAGTTGGGCCGTGTTAAGAACCTGGCTCCCGCTTCCTTTTTTCTCTCCCATGCCTGGAAATGATAGGAAATGCCGGCGAGTTTCGGGGGCAACAGGGTGAGAAGTGGCGGAGTAGCTCACAAGAGCCCAGCGGACAGAGGGGGTGGACTGGACCAGGCTGGGAATACCCAGCAGTCGATTCCTAGTACTTTACCTTGGGCGTCCCTTATTCTAGAGTTTCTAAAGTTATAGGGAGTATGGAAGTTCGAGTTTCTCGAGTTTCAGCGAGTTCTCATAGTTTTGTTCAAAGAAAGCTTAAAACAGAAGGGGTTACGTTTCACACCAAACACGGCCGGCCAGAGTCTGACGCCGTTTGTCCCCACCGGCGGCCCGTAACTTTGTTTTTGCCCAGCCCTTACGTCACGCGTCTTCTCGCGGAGCCGTCTGTACCTGGCTCCTTCTGATTGGCTTAGGTGAGCCCCACACCCTTCCTGATTGGAAGCTCCGACTGGGAGGGCGACGTTCTTTCCGCCGTAGGGTTTGGTTGAGCATCAGGCGCGGGGGAGAATTGGGGAAACTGGAATTTCCCGCGGAGGTGACGGCGCTTTCTCTCCCCTACTCGTTTTAATTCCACGCGCTCCAAAATATCCGCCATGGAGAAATCTTGGTAATGACCCAATCCCCATAAGCATCCCAAGAAACACATCTGACCCCTGCCCTAATCCCTCCCCTCCCCGCTGCCGGGGAAGAATTCTGGGTAATTGATTTCTCTGGTTCCCCTAGAGAATTGTGGGTAGCTAGCCATTTTCATAATGTCCCCCCACCTCTGCCCCAATTGTGGGTAACTGGACATTCTTATTTTTCCCTGGAGAATCCTGGGTAACGTTGCAGAGGATTCTGGGAAACTGACTTCTTTCGTTCTCACCTCCCAACCCCGTACCCCTCATCCCTAATTTTGGGAAGCAAGCACCTTAGCCCCTCTGTCTAACTCCTGTCCCGCAGTTGCTGCTCCTTCCACTGATGGTTGTGGGGTGAACCAGGCAAGTGAGCAGGCCTGAAGGGAGATGGAAAGGAAGTCATTAGGTTAGATAGTGGGGTGGTGGGGAGTACAGAGGGCCTAGAGGAGAAAAAGGGACATGACTTCCACCTTTACCCCCACTGCCCATCCCCTTCCTGCCTGCTTCATCCCCTACCTGACATTCTCACATCTGCCTGCCTCATCTCCCTCCCGCCCAGATAATCGAGAACATACTAAATACAGGTACCTCGGCCTGCCACTGACTCAGCTACCTCTTTCCCTTTGCAGGCCAGGATGTCCATTCTAGGCCCACTGGTGCTGTTCTGCTGAAGGTTGAGTCAGGCCTGTTAAGGACCTGTTGCAAGGGAGGGTGTGACAAGGGTCTAATCTGCCATCGTCATCATGAACTTCGAGGGTCTGGACCCTGGACTGGCAGAATATGCCCCAGCCATGCATTCTGCCCTGGACCCTGTCCTGGATGCCCACCTGAACCCAAGTCTGCTACAGAATGTGGAGCTGGACCCGGAGGGGGTGGCCTTGGAGGCTCTTCCTGTCCAGGAGTCAGTGCACATAATGGAAGGTGTCTACTCTGAATTGCACAGTGTGGTGGCCGAAGTGGGTGTGCCTGTCTCCGTCTCCCACTTTGACTTGCACGAGGAGATGCTGTGGGTGGGAAGCCACGGGGTAAGAACTATACCCCTTTGTAAGGGATGAAAGGAGATGTTGGAGGTCTTTTATCTGGTTTTAGCCCAAGGGCAGCTGCTTTACTGGGAGCCAGAACTGAGTTGAGGTGATGAGAGTTAGTTGGGTCCCTAAGTCAAGTCAGGAGGAGGGGAGTGGAAGGAGCCATAGGATCCAGGGAGAAGTTACATAGGCGTTCTTTTTCAGAAGTCCTCTTTCTACCACTATTTGCTCCTTCCAAGCTTTGATTAATCTTGATAACTATATCCATCAGTTAGTCTGTAGTGTCCAAATCCAGTCTCTAATGCCCCTCCTCTGTTTTCCATTTTTTTAATTATAGAATGTTTAACACGTGTTTCTACTTACCTTACACAGAATCATTTTGTCTTCTCTGGCTGATTTTAATCTCTGTGAGAGCAGTTATCAATGTTAATTTTTTTAAAATGTGTATTTATATTGCCAATATGCTAGGGAGCCCAAGATTTTGTAGGAAATAACACCTTATCCTTGGTTTACTAATTTACCTTCCATAGAACATGAATTGTGCTTTTCTCATTAGAAGGAATGAGCTTTTTTGGTAATACATTCATTTCAGTATGCAGTATTTACTGCTATGCTAGGCCCAGGGAATAAAGCTGAATAAAACATAATCCTTGCCCTCAAGGAATCTATAGAACAATGAGGAAAAAATGATACATAAGCAGATAACTTCATGATACTTCAGAAGAAACTAAACTGTTTCACTTACTGATTACGAACTTAAGATGTAAACTACTGAGTGCCAGTATGAAAACAGGTACTGAGTGGAGAGGGGTCAGAGGGCCTTCAGAAAGAAGTGACACCTGAAGTGAGTTTTTGAGAGGTGAGTAGGAGTCAGGTGAAGAAGAGGGGGAAATGCTGTCTTGGCCAAAGCAACAGGATAAAGATTTCCAAGATACTATACAGTGGATTGCAGAGTGCGGGAACTATAAGTAATGAGGGTTTACTGCACTGGGAGATAAAGCTGAAGAGATAGACATGACTTCATTCAACTAGTGTTTTTTGAGCACCTACTAAGTGCCAGACCTTGCCGTGTGGTCTAGGTTTAGAATGAACATTTAAGAAGTCAACAAAAATACATTTATATTAAGTGTTGTTTAGTATCTTTAAGGAAAATAAAATGGAGTAAGGGGGTTGAGGTAATGAAGGGTGGGAGATGTTACTGTTTTAGATAGTTGGTCAGGGAAAGGTCTCTCTGATAAAGCCACATTTGAGTGGAGACCTGGATACAGTCCGTGCTATCCTTTCTAAGTCCTCTAGAAGGGAGAAAGGAAGCCATGTAGATATCCGGGGGGTGGGGTGGGGGTGGCGGGAGAACATTCTAGAAAAACCTCATATGCTGTGTTAAAAGAGCCTGGACTTGATCCTTCACACTACTGAAGATTTTTATCCAGAATGATAAGGTTAGGTTTGTATCTTAGAGTGCTGAGGTAGAAGTAGAGA